AAAAAAAAAGGAGCCTTAGCTAATGAGTCCAGATGGTCTCTCCCTCGTCGACAGGAGACTCAGAGAGACTGAGTGGAAAATTCAGGAAAACCAGAAATTGATCGAATGCGAGAACGGACGAGGGTGGGCAGAACCAGGCCAAGTCCCAAGTCCGGAGAGACCGCGGATTCGGACACAGGAGATTCCCTTGTGTGGGGGGGACCTGGCTACTTGGATCCGAGTCCCTCCCCACCCTGCAGAGCTGGGAGATGTGTTTCTGCAGAGGTTGGATCAGAGAGGCCGTAGGAGCTTGAGGGTAGCACAGCGCTTTGGGAGAAGTTAAGACTCTCTGCTAAAAAAAAGAAAAAAAGAAAATTGGGTGCATAAGCGAGTTTACACGCTGAGTTGCTGAGGGCCTTGCACGTTGCTGAGGCTGGCCTCCACCTTGCGATCCTCCTGCCTCGGCCTCCAGATGACAGGCATGGGCCACCGCGCCTGGCACTGAATCCCAATTTTATGTGTGATTATCGTTGCTCTAATTTAAATCGAGGTCACTCGAAGAGCAAAGGTCACTGCGGCTCCACAGACAGGAGCCCCGCCCCCACCTTGGATGGGTCAGCCAGGGACACAGCTCAGCAGGGTTCATTCGGTTGACATCAGAGTCCGCGGCTGGGCAGTGGCTGGGGGGCCCCGTTTGGCCAAAGAAGAAAGACAGGGTTGTCACAGACTCTGCTAGGTGACCAGGGAACAGTGTGGGGATGGCCGGGATCCTGTGAAGGGCTGGCCTGGAAGAGCTCACAGTGGGAACCTACTTGGTGGCGCCCGCCTGTCATCCCAGCAGCTCAGGAGGCTGAGGCAGGAGGATCGCAAAGTGGAGGCCAGCCTCAGCCACTTAGCGAGGGCCTGAGCCGCTCAGCGAGACCCTGTCTCTAAATAAAACACAAAAAGGGGCTGGGGATGGGGCTCAGGGGTTAAGTGCCCCTGGTACCAAAAACAAAAAAAATAGTTTGGGGTGGTGGCTTGGGTCCAGGGACTTTGGCCGTGCCACAGAGGAGGCTTTGCAAGGTGCCAGAGCGGAGGGGCCACCTGGTCTGACCACATCATGAGCAAGCAGCGTCCACCCAGAGGGCCTGGCCGTCAGTGTGGGTCAGGGGTGTGTCCAGTCTGGAAGGGACAGCTGGCCAGACGCAGAGGGTGGGGCCACCCGGGACCCCAGAAGGGAGTTCAGATCCAGGGCAGCCAGGGAGAGAGTCATGTGCACACAGGCCACCAGCCCCTGCAGCCCACAGGACACGCCCCAGGCCCTTGGCCTTGGGTGGACTTCCAGGAAGGGAACTGTATTTCACTTTATTTTATTTTATTTTATTTTTGAACCCAGGGGTGCTTCACCCCTGAGCCCTGTCCCCAGCCCCTTTTTCTATTTTATTTAGAGACATCTCAGAGGCTCAGGAGGCTGAGGCAGGAGGATCGCAAGTTGGAGGCCAGCCTCAGCCACTTAGCTAGGCCCTGAGCCGCTCAGCGAGACCCTGTCTCTAAATAAGATATAACTAGGGCTGGGGACCCTGTGGCCTGCAGAACAGGTCAGGTTTGATCAAGGCGTCAACGATGGTGGCTGTTCTACGAGGAACCATCAGAGACTGGGATACATCTTGGGGTCCCCCCTAGGCCTGGGCCAGATCACCCACAAAAACCACCATGGTCAGGCCCCCCACAATTTCGTGAGGCCCCTGTCTCAAAATAAAGAATAGAAAGGGCTGAGATGGGGCTCAGTGGTTGAGCTGAGCGCCCCTGGGGTCCATCTCCAGCAACCCCCTCCCCCCCAAAAAAAATAAAAGAAAAATAAAAAAGAAGGATGATTCTGTGATTTCACCCTGAAGTTCAGACGGAGAAAAGACGCACTTCAAACCTCGCGGGGACTGAAGAGGGGACCCCCGCGGGTCTGTGTCCCCTTCCCCCCCCACTGGTGATTTAAAAAGGAAACTCTGTGTCTTTGTCTTTCAAAGTTTTATTTTGAAGCAATTAGTGGCAGAGGGAGGAGAAGAAGAGGGCTTATCTATGTTTCTGAAGCTGCCAACTATTTCTGTGTGTTCCCCTCGGGTCCTTTGCACACGCAAAGAATGACAGGAATGTCCCCACCTGCATGCCTCCCTGGTCTCAGGGACCAGGTCCAAGTGGCAGCCCTGCTCAGGCACCCAGGGAGGGCCAGAGCCGGGCTGGCCGGGGTCCCCAGTCCAGGGAGGGAGGACAGGCCCCAGGGAAATCCGAGGGTGTGGGTGTCACAGCAGGATGAGGGACCCTCACCTGATTAGGGCTGGCCCTCCAAGTCCACCAGACCCCAGGCTTCTGAAACACACAGGGGCGGGCACTCTGGGTGGCACAGGAGAACTTAAGGTAGCTCACCGAGGTGACACTAGCCCGGCATGGTGCCAGGTGCCTGCCTGTAGTCTCAACAGGTTGGGAGGCTGAGGCCGGAGGATCGCCAGTTGGAGGCCAGCCTCCGCCAAAGCGAGGCCCTGAGCAACTCAGCGAGGCCCTGTCTCTAAATAACATACAAAATAAGGCTGGGGACGGGGCTCGGGGTGAAGTGTCCCGGGTTCAATCCCTAGTCCCCCCCCAAGCCCCCTGAGAAATGCTGTTAGAGACGAGGACACGCCATCGTCCAATGTATGTCAGGGTCATTTTCTTCTCTGTCATCCCCCTGGTCCCGCCCGTCAACTGGCAGGGTTCCCTGGGTACTGTGGCCGCAGCCTGGAGCCAGATGTGCCCCTGGCTAAGGTCACTCAGGCATGTGAAGCTCATTTAAAACGGGGCAGTCGGTCCCCAGGAGGTACCACAGGGTGACCCGGGCACCCCTTGGGAAGCTGTCCCCCAGCGTCTCACTGCACAGACACAAGCAGACCTGACCCAGGAGCTCAGGACCCCCCCCCCCCATTCGTGTCTGCCCTGTCATTGACAAAACCCGATGGATTGACGGGTCCCCCTTGGGCACATGACCTGGGTCCGGCCAATCAGAGCCCCTCTGTCTTCCAGCCAGAATGACTGGCTTCAAAGAGTGACCCGGTGCCCTCCAGGTAGACAGGGAAATCAATTTCTGGTCATTGGCTGACCCAAGAGGCCCTGTGTCCCCGAGTTGCTCATTTAAGAGCTGCTGGGGGAATATCACAGCCTCCTGTTTCTGTAGAAGACAGAGAAGGACCGAGACCTCACAACAGCACCTGGATCCAGCCGTACCTGAAGCTGGAGGCGCTCTTGGACGTTTCGATTTCCTGTGCCAACCTTTGGCTCTGGCCGGTTGAGGTTGAGTCATGGAGGGAGGCAGCTGGCATCCTCTGCCTGGGTATGGCTCGGGGTGGTTTTTAAGCTCTATGCGGCGAGGGTGGCAGGAATGTCAATTTTTTCCAGCAGGTAGATGTCCCTAGGGGACTGATGTGACGTGGGTGGCAATCAGAAGCCGCACTCTCACCCATAATTGCGCTTGATTTCCGCGGCGGTGCTGATTGCAGCCTGGGACGATCCTCTGATTTCAGGATGATGGGGCCGGAGCCTGGGAGGCCTAACGAGGGTGTTGGAGGCTGGGCTGATTGTGCAGAAGAGGCCACCCCGCGCCCCAGACAGGACTCGCTTGCTGACTTTTGTTTCCTGGTGATGACGACGGGTCCCTCCCCAGGGACAAGGCTGGCCTGAGCCTGGGCTGCGGTCAGCGGGGGGGTTGCTGAGGAGCAGGAGGTGGGAGGACAGTGTATGGGCCTCAACTGAGGCCAGGAGGCTGGGAGGAGGCAGGCAGTATCGGCGGAGCCCTCTGGGGCCCCCACTGGCTGGCTTTCCTCCTGGCGCTGCCCCTGGCCACTCTGCAGCCCTGGGCACCTGATGCAGCCCCTGCTGGCCCCCTGGGCTTCCCGGGCTGCAGCTGTGGATAATGTCAACCGCCCGGGCCACCAGGGAGCCCAGATCAGCCCCTCCCCTGCGTGCTCAGTGGCTGAGTGACATTCAGCGCATGATCCGCGATGGTCAGTCCTGCCTGGAAATGCCCAGGGAGCCTGGGGGAGGCCTCACACCTGTCTGTGTCAAGCCCTGATGAAGGGGAGCCAGGACCCGGGCTCCTGAGCGGAGTCCCACACTAGTAGAGGCTACATGGACTCCTTGCCCATCAAAATCCTAAGCAGGGAGTCTGTCCTCGAAGGGCCAACACTGGCCAAGCTCCCCAGCTGCAAGACCATCCCGAATCAAGGGGGTCCCTTGGAGGATGGGGACAGCGGCGCACATGTGTCATCCCAGCAGCTCGGGAGGCTGAGGCAGGAGGATCGCAAGGTGGAGGCCAGCCTCAGCCACTTAGCAAGGCCCTGAGCAACCCAGCGAGACCCTGTCTCTAAATAAAATACAAAAAGGGCTGGGGACGGGGCTCAGGGATTAGGTGCCCCTGGATTTAGTCCCTGGGGGGGGATCCTTGGCAGGGGAGGTCTGGGGCACCGAGTTCCAGTCCCTGATGGTCAAGGTGGAATTGCGAGACTAGTCTCAGGTCACCCAAGTTACTGACCACGGGTTGCCCCCAAGCCCTTGGGGTCTGAACCTGCCTTTAACAAGGTCCCCAAGGCGTGGGTTAAATCCTGCCTCAACAGGACAGGTCGGGAGCCTCTGCTCTGAGCTACGGAGGCTCAGCTAGACGTGAGTCTCCAAAAGGGTTAGGTGCTGTTGATTTTTTTTTATTTGGGGGGACGGTCCTGGGCATTGAACCCAGAGACACTTAACCACGGAGCCCCGTCCCCAGCCCTTTATATATGCATTTTTTGAGACAGGGTCTCCCTGAGTTGCTCAGGACCTCGCTAAGTGGCTGAGGCTGGCCTCTACCTGGCGATCCTCCTGCCTCAGCCTCCCCAGCTGCTAAAGTCTGTGCTTCTGTTAGGTTCTCAGCCTGGGAAGTCCAGCCCAAAGGGACTCCAGAGAGACTCCTGATGCCCGCCCTTCTGCAGCTACCCCCACCTCTGGCCACGTGTCCACAAGCAAGGAAAACCCGCAGCCAAGAGTTTTAGCAAAAATGTTTAATCTCTCCTTAATGTGTGTGTATTTACAAGTACTAAATTTGAAGGACAGTAAAATAGGAAACAGGCGGATATTTACACACCCGAGGGCTGAGGGCCGGTCAGCTGGGCCACCCAAGGGACCATTCTTCTTTTGGGTGGGGTGGGGGCCCCTGCGGCGTTAAGGGACAGCTAATTGTGGGCATCGTCTTAAAAATATCTCTCTCTCTCTCTCTAAATATATCTATTCTAGCTTGGGTAGCACCAACGGCGTGAGCCATCAGATCCAGAACTTGGGGACAAATGGGGACAGGGACCTCAGCGAGGGAAATCGGGAGGCCAGGGCAGGGCAGGGCAGGGTGGCAGGGCCTGTGCCTGGGACTCGATGCCAGGTGTCTGGGGCACCCTGGGCCCCTCGTCCATGTGTCCCCTGGGGTGGAGGGGACATGGGCCAGGCAGTGCTGACGAGCTCGAGGTATATCAAGGGCCGGGGACAGGCCTGCGCATGGGCACCCCGGGGTGGGGGGACAGTGGGGAGCCAGGTGGGGGGGCGGGGCTCCGAGCAGCAGGTGGCCTCCAGGGTCCCCCGCCAGGTCGCGCTGGAGTGTGGCTGGGCTCGGTTCCTGGGCCTGCAGTGGCCCCAGAGGCAAAATGGGCATTAAACTCAGGGACACGTCACCCCGGAGCCACCACCCACCTGTCCCCTCTCCAGAGCTGGGTCAGAGTCCCTGGCGGGAGGCCCTGGAAGGTGACCGGTGGCGCTGGGGCCCAGGACAACTATGGGAGGAGAGGCCACAGGCCCAAGTGCGAGGCCCGGCAGGAAGGGGCGGCCCGGGGACCCCGGGCTGCCATACTGGGGACAGCTCGGGGGCATCGGCTGGACCAATCGCATGTAAACAGATAGGCTAAAGTGCAGGTGTCGCCCGGCTGGCCCGTCCCCACGGCCACCTGGGCCCGGGGCAGCCTGGCAGCTGGGTGACGGCCCAGCTCCCCGGGGTGCCCCAAGGTGGAGGGCGGGAGGGGACCGGGGACTGAAGGTGACACGGAGCAAGGACCCCGCGGCTGGGGCAGAACTGGAAGAACTGGGGACTCCGGTCTGGAGCCAGCGTCCAGGGAAGACTTGGGGACACACGGAGGCCCGGGGCACGAGCCGGAAGGAAGGAGGGGACCCGGGGGGGGTGTCCTGGCCCCCTCAAGGGACTGCCGGGAAACAGCCCATCTGGAGAGTGACCAGCCTCTGCCCTGGTCCCCAGGTCTGCCCAGGGAGTGAGCCCACACCCACGGGGGACTGGGGACGGCGGTGGCCAGAGCTCAGGCTGGTGGGGACCAGGGTGCCCAAGCCCCACTGGGCGCCCCGTGGGGGTGGGGGGCTCCCTGAGACAGAAGTTCACCTTCTTGTCACCGACGCCGAGGGGCGGCTTCCGACCTGATGTCCACTGGCTCACGCTGCTTAGGAGGGGGGACACCGAGGTGGCAGCCCAGGGGGTGCGGGGCCTGCGCGTCCCGGTGCCCAGGGTGGGTCTGGCCACAGTTAGCTGTCCCTTAAAGTCCGTGAGACTCTTTAGTACCATCGAAAAAGTGAACCTGGGGATGGGGCGGGCCGCTTGGCTGCTGTGTGTTTGTGACCAAGGGACTGATCCCTTTCAAAAATCAAATCGAAGTTCAAAAGAAACACGGGTCTTCTAACCACCTCTATGTTCAACACTTGCAGTTTGGAAAGGTCAACGCAGACTACACGCTACACGATCATGCAAACCGGGGCCCAGGGCAGCGGGGTGCGTGTCCCCCGGGAGTGCACACGCGTGGCCCCGGCCCCGGGGACCTGGGCCACCTTGCCCACTGCCCTGACGTTTCTTCTCAGTTGCTCTTGGGACCTTGTGGGGTCCTCTCCGTGGACTGCCTGGCCCCACGGGCGGGGCCACATATATATACACAGACAGATACATATATATGTACAGGTCTGTCACCCAACTCGTCCTGTCGCTCACGGAGGGCATGGGCGGGCAGCAGCCGACCTCGAGTCCCTCGGGCACTACAGGTCCACTGCTCTCTCGGGCCTGAAGGGACCCAGGCTGCGGGGTGGCCCTGGGGCTCCCCAGACGGATGCAGCAGGGTTTCTTGTTGCAAAATCAAATCGGTCCCCGGGTGTCCAATGGCTCTGAAGGGGCCAGACGCTGCTGAGAGCCGCACTGGAAGCTGCTTGGTGGGGGCTGGGGCGGGGAGGCTGCAGAGGGAGGCTGCAGATGGAGGCCACAGAGGGAGGCCGAACAGGGAGGCCGCAGATGGAGGCCACAGACGGAGGCTGAAGAGGGAGGCCGGAGGCCGTGGCCTGCTGCCTCCAGGAGCCCACCCTGCGGGTGGCCCGGAGCTGGCGCCGGAGCAGGGCTGGAGGGGAATAAATAACGGGAGCATGCGCCCTGTGACCGGAGCCCCAGCCCGGTGGCTCCCAGAGGCACGGTCCTGAGGACAGAGAGGGGTCGCCTAGTCCGCCAGTCACTCAGGGGCTGGGAGTGGCGCCCCCTCCATGGGAGGGGACGGCCTCTCTGCAGGGCAGGTGGACGTGGCCCTCCGGCTCGGCCGCGCACAGCACGCGGTGAATCTGACCTTGGCCGTGGGCAGCAGGCTCGGGCTGGGCGTGGAGGCTGCGGGGTCTCGCTCTTCCTCTGGCTGCCACCAGGTCCCGGGGACCCCCAGGCTCTGCACGCTGGTGGCAGCCCCCCATCCTGTCCTTCCGCAGTGGGCCAGGCTGGCTGCCCCTCGTCCTGGAGGGCTCGGCCTTAAACCACGGCCACTCAGAGGCCACCTCATTCTCCCACGAAGGCCACTGGGCAGCTCTTGCCAGGTGGCCAAGGTCCCTGGGCAGGGCCGGCCAGCCTGGCTCTCCAGGCCCCGGGGTGGGCAGCCCGGGCGCAGAGGTGGCGCGGTGGGCACCGTCACTTCCACACCCAGGAAAACGGCCCCCAGGAAGCAGGGAGGGGGCCTGCGCCCTGGCGCTCCGCAGCTGGGCAAGGGCTGTCCCCCGGTCCCCGCGCCAGAGCCCTCTCCTCTGCTCCTGCCAGCGGTCACCAGCTGGGCTCAGCTGCTCAGGGCCATCGTGTCCACCACCTGCTCTAGCTTGCTCCGCAGCCGCTGCCGCCGCGCCTGCTCGTCCTTCTCCAGGGCCGCCAGGATCTGCGGGTCAGGGTCAAGGTCAAGGTCAGGCTCAGGGTCAAGGTCAGGGTCAGAATCAGGGTCAGAGTCAGGATCAGGGTCAGAGTCAGGATCAGGGTCAGAGTCAGTCTGGGTTGGGGTCGGGGTCAGGCTCAGGGTCAAGGTCAGGGTCAGGGTCAGGGTCAGAGTCAGGATCTGGGTCAGGGTTGGGGTCGAGGTCAGGGTCAAGGTCAGGGTCAGGGTCAGGGTCAGAGTCAGGATCAGGGTCAGAGTCAGAGTCCGGGTTGGGGTCGGGGTCAGGCTCAGGGTCAAGGTCAGGGTCAGAGTCAGGGTCAGGGTCAGAGTCAGGGTCAGGGTCAGAGTCAGGGTCGGGGTCAGGGTCAGAGTCAGGATCCGGGTCAGGGTTGGGGTCGAGGTCAGGCTCAGGGTCAAGGTCAGGGTCAGAGTCAGGGTCGGGGTCAGGGTCAGAGTCAGGATCCGGGTCAGGGTTGGGGTCGAGGTCAGGGTCAGGGTCAGGGTCAGGATCAGGGTCAGAATCAGGATCTGGGTCAGGGTTGGGGTCGAGGTCAGGGTCAGAGTCAGGGTCAGGGTCAGGGGCGGGACTGGCCACCCCTAAGGTGGGGCAGCAGCAGTCACACTAGGTGACCGGCCTCTGAGCGTGCCACCAGGGCCCTTCTGGGCACTCCTTCTGTATTTATCTCTGCAGGGTGGACAGCCAGCAGGCCTTCAGCCCACCTGTGTCCCTGTGGTGCTGAGGACAGACCCAGGGCCTCATGTGCCAGGCGAGCGCTCTGCCCTGAGCCCCAGCCCAGCCCTCTGGCCACTCCTGGCCCATATGTGGGGAGCAGGCTCCAGCCTGGACAGCCCTGGACCCCGGGGTGCAGAAGGCCCCCCACCCACACGGCAGGCTCGCTCCTCTCCTGGGGTGTCACAACCAGGCCCCTCCTGTCCCACTCTGCCCTTTGGCACTGTGGAGGTCACCTGCGACCCCTGGCTCTCAGGTCACCTGCCTGAGGACTCCCCACCCCTCAGGAGTCTCATGTGGGAGTTCAGGGCTCGGGCTGTCCCCTCCGCTGCCCTAGACATGCCCCTGGTCACCCTCTCTGAGTCTCAGCCTGAAGGCCCCTCTGTTGCTGGGTGACCTGGGACCCAGTGCGGGTCTGAGCCTGCAGCTCCTCACACCCAAAGAGCCTGACCCCAGGCCCCAGACCCACGCCTTCCGGGGTGGCCTCTGCCCCCTGTGTGGGCAGGCCAGCCTGTGCCCTCCAACCACAGAACGCACCTGCGTCGCGGCTCGGAACCCAACAGGGACCACCAGCTCTCTGCGGCTCAGCCTGAGCCCCCCAAGCCTGCCCACCAGGGGTGGCCTTGTCTTGGCGCCCATGGTTCAGTCCCGTGGTCTCCCATGGAACCCAGTGCCTGGGCACAGGCTGCCCTGTCCTGTCCTGTGGTCCTGTGTGCCCATCAGATGCATCCCAGGAGACAGAGCCCAGGCTCCCTGTGCCCAACTCGGGGATGTCCGCCGAGCCCAGTGAACCCTGTCACGGGTCTTGCAGGAGAGTCAGGAGGGACCCACATTCTCCAGCTAGGAAGGCCACGCCACCCGGTCTCCCAGGCTCCCTGCTCTGTGTGTCCTCGCTGGGACCAGTGCTGCCCGAGCTGTCGGGAGCCCGGACCTCCTGCTCCCTGGCATGGTCCCCTCCCGCCACAGGGCACTAGGGGCTGCCGGGGGCCGCGGGTGGAGGGGCCTGGTGGGCTGAGATGCGGGATGCGGGGTGCAGGGCGCGGGGCTCACCTCGTCCTTGTACTTGGTGATGTAGGAGTAGATCTCGTGCAGGGCGCTCATGCTGTTGAACTGGCTCAGGTGCAGCCGCGACTGCTCCGCCAGGTATGCGCTCATGTCCTGGTCACTGATGGCGGGCATCTTGGCGATGTCAGCATAGTACCTTCCAGAAGGTGGTGGGGCAAGTGAGTGAGAGGGTCCCAGCACCCAGGGCCCAAGCCGGCCCCCAAGGCCAAGCCCTGCCCCCAAGCCCCGCCCCTAAGCCCCAAGCCCCGCCCTCAAGGCCCAAGCCCCGCCCCAAGGCCCACCCCCAAGGCCCAAGGCCCGCCCCCAAGGCCAAGCCCCACCCAAGCCCCGCCCCACGCCCCGCCCCCAAGGCCAAGGCCCGCCCCCAAGTGCCCGGTCGCCCACCTCTCCACCCAGCTCTTGTAGTTGGGGATGTCCTTGGCGTAGAGCAGCTTGTTGGAGGGCGAGTCCTTGCCCAGCTTGTGCTCCGACGTGGAGCAGGAGTCCATGAAAGTCTGGGCCACGACGGACAGACAGGCGTCCGTGATGCTGTTCTTGTGGATGTCGAACACAAACTGCGGGTTCTTGATCACGTTCACCCAGAAGCGCAGGGGCAGGCTGCGGGCGAGCAGGCACGGGCCCCCGGTCAGCTGGCCGCCCCTCTGAATGGCACAGGGAAGGGACTGGCCAGCCGTCTCGTGGCCCTCCCAACGCTGACCTCCAGGGACAGTGTGGAGTTCAAAGCAGATGAGGAAACAGAGGTCCAGAGTGGACCAGCTGGTGCCCGCCAGAGTGCCCGCCACTTGTAGCCTCCCAGAGCCTAACTGGGTGCTCAGATGTGCATTCGTCACCATCGTGGTCATGCACATGTGGTCACTTACAGGTGGACGTGTGGCTCAGGGCCCTGAGGCCCATGTGCTTGGCTTGCACCCCTGCTCCTGGATGGGGACCCACCACTTGGCTCCAGTGCAGGACATACTCTGACCTCTGCCTACAATACCACCTCAAAGACTGCCACCAGCCGGGCCACCCAGGGGCTGTGTGTGGCTACGCGTAATCGAATGATGCTGAAAACTGGTTGGTGGCCCCAGGCACACACCAAGTGCTACCACTCTGGCTGGCGTGGATGCAGGATGCTCCAAACTGCAGGGCTGTCCTGCGTGGGCTGACCGCTGCTGCCCGCCCCAGCAGACCCTGCCTTCCTGCTGCCAGGCAGCCCCGTTAGCACAACCCAGGGGTGACCTCTGGGCCTCAGTCCTGACCAGGGTCCCATGGGCCGCACAGGTGGGCTGAGGGAGGGGCTGGGCTGCGTCCCAGGGTAAAGTGGCGGCCAGAGGCCACCAGAGTCTTGGGAGGGGAGAGACCACCAACTGGGGAGGATGGGGATGCACAGGTGACCTAGAAAGGAAGATGGCCAGAGGCTACCTAAAGTGCTAGGGCTCAAGGGGACGAGGCCAGGCAGGGTATGGCTGTGGGCCTGGCATGAGGGCACCGCTGGCCACGTAAAGCGGGGTGGACACAGAAACTAGTGGAGGCGGGGCTACAGGACCCACAGGGAAGGAGGGTCATCCAACTACGCAGTGGGGACCCTCAGCCTCGCCAGATCCTTGAACCTGGCCTGGTCTTGCTCCAGACCCATCCCTCCACTGGGTCAGGACTCAGAGCACAGGGCTGTGCCAGTGCCCAGGGCTCGCAGGACAGGGTGTACTGACTGGCCTTGGGGACCCTCAGAAGAGAGCAAGAGGCCTGCAAAGCCCGATGGTCAGGAGCCCTGGAGAGGGGCCTGCAGAGCTGGGCCGTCCACACCTGGGCAAAGAGGCACTGGCTGCAGAAGGCAGACCAGGCCCGAGGCAGACACGGGAGGGGGCACCCTAGAGGACGCCCACCCAGAGGCTGGACACCTCTCCCCACCCAGGCTCATACATGGTGAGGTGCACAGGGGACCTCAGGAGCCTGTGGGGGTCCGGCTCGGGCTCACTGCCCTGGGGTTCCACGTTCTCAGCGCATAGCGGCCTGGGCACCGTGCTCAGTGCAGGACGAGGGTGCTGTGGCTGCCCCTGCCCTCCGTGGGGCGCCAGCCTGCGTCCTGCCCCAGCTGCTCCACTAAGGGTGCCCCAGCCACTCCCAAGCTACCCCAGCTGCTCCTGTAGGTGGTGCACTGGCCCCGCCCTCCACTGGCCCCGCCCATGCCCCGCCCCAGGTGCTCCTGTAGGTGGTGGGCTGGCCCCGCCCACGGAGGAGCACCGCCCTCCACTGGCCCCGCCCACACCCACCCCAGCTGCTCCTGCAGGTGGTGCACTGGCCCCGCCCAGTGAGGAGCACCGCCCTCCACTGGTCCCGCCCACACCCCGCCCCAGCTGCTCTTGCAGGTGGTGGGCTGGCCCCGCCCACGGAGGAGCACCGCCCTCCACTGGCCCCGCCCACACCCCCGCCCCAGCAGCTCCTGCAGGTGGTGGGCTGGCCCCGCCCACTGAGGAGCACTGCCCTCCACTGGCCCCGCCCACACCCCGCCCCAGCTGCTCCTGCAGGTGGTGCACTGGCCCCGCCTTCCAAGCAGCACTGCCCTCCACTGGCCCCGCCCTCTGAGGGCCCCGCCCACGCCACGCCCCAGCTGCTCCTCTAAGGGCGCCCCACCCACCCCCAAGAGGCCCAGCTGCTCCAGCAGGTGGCGCACGGGCCCCTCCCCGCCCTCCGCAGGCTCCGCCCTCCAAGGGGCACTGCCCCACCCGCCCCGGCCGCCCTCACCAGTTGCTCTTCCAGGTGTGGCGCACGTCGGCGTCGTGGATCTGGTGCTTGTCCGCCTGCTCGTCCAGGAAGTCGAACATGTACTTGATGGCCAGCGGCAGCGCCGAGCCCCGGTGCGCCGTGCTGAAGATGGTCTCGAACAGGTCGTCCACGAACTTCTGCAGCGTGCCCTGCGGGGGAGGGACGGGCACCCAGAGCTCAGCGCCCGCCGCTGCCGCCCCGGGGACGACAGGCTGGCTCTGAGCGCGGTGGCCTCAGGCTGGGGTCCCATGCCTGCCCGCCCGCCGGACCCACCTTGGTGGCCAGCAGCCGCGTCAGGTAGATCTCCGAGACCATCTTGCTGCCCCGGTCGCCCTCGCGCTGGTCCAGGTGGTCGTGGTTCTTCACCAGGTGCCACAGCTTGGTGCCACTCTCCAGGTCGGGCGTGATCATGGGCGTGCGCGAGCGCAGGCTGTCGGGGCTGCTGGCCGTGCGCAGCATGCTCTCTGCGGGGACCAGGCCTGTCAGCAGGCGGAGCCCTGAGCCCTGGGCCACTCCCCACGGCCTGCCACAGCTGTCCCCCCATCCAAGAGCCGGGGACATCGCCCCTGCCTCCCCGGCCGCTGGGCATGGCCAATCACGCACGAGACGCAGCTGAATGCACTTGGGGACACGCAGTTGGGGAAGGGGCACAGCCTCCAGTACTTAAGAGAAAGGCCAAGGGTGACGATGCCCCCTCCACGTAGCAGAGCCCGGGGAGGTGTCCTCCCAGGCCCTGGGGCCCCCGCTGACCCCTCCCCCAGACCCCGCCCTCACCGTATCTGCTGAGGGACTTGGTGAAGGTGGAGGAGTTGGAGATGTTGTAGGCCGAGGTCTGCTTGGGCACCAGCGCCACTGAGGACCCGTCTGTCACCTGCGGGCAGAAGGAAGGGGCTACAATGAGTCCCCAGGAGACTAGACACCCCGCTGGGGACGTGAGTGACACCCCTGCTCCTGTCACCTTACCACTCTGAACATCAGTTTCCTCATCGGGACAGTTTCAGAGATATGGGGAGGACCCCAGGGGCCGTGGGGGGCCTGAGACCGTCCACACAGGGACTTGGCCTCCTTTCCTCTGCCCCGGGCTGGTCATCTGGCAGCCAGGGGTCCCTCCCCGGCACCCGAGGGAAGCTGTGACAGGGGCAGACAGGCACCTGGTAGTGGGCCAGCGTGTTCAGCCTCTTCCAGTCATTGTCGATCTTGGTGGTGACGTCCTCGTCCTGCAGGATGATGCGGGCCATGCGACCCTGGCGCCACTCTGCAGGGAACAGGGCGCTGGAGGGCGGGACTCGGGGTCTTGGTCCCTCCCGATGCAGTCCCTCAGCTCGGGGCTGGGGACAGGACTGTGGGGAGGGGCAGGGGCTTGCAGGGCTCTGGGTGAAGGGCCTTAAATACCAGAATATCGAGGGGTGAGGTCCCCCCTTGATCCCACGATGTGGGCAGCTTCCAGCCACTCCCAGCCGGAGACCTCTGCCCTAGGGGGCCCCTTCCCCAGGCTCCAGGCCCCTCCCCCCTGGTGGCCCTGCCCCAGCTGTTCTGGCCACATCTGCTGTGGGTCCCCAGAGCCCCATACCCCAACCCTCCCGTGGCCCTCCAAGGCTCCCCCTGACCCAGCCCACAAGCCAGAGGTCTCCGCTGTGGCCAGGAGAACCTGCCCCCACAGCCCCCTCAGTGTCCCCACCAGTCATTCAGCTGGACCGAGGCCCTGCGCAGACCCCTCCCCCCAATGGCCTGGGGATCCTGGAGCCACCTCCCCCTCCCCCACCTGGGTGCACACAGGGCCCCTGCCCAGAACCCACTGTCCACCACGTGGCGGGCAGGAGGCCCGGCTGCTCACCGAGGTCCATGTCCCCAGCCTTGGGCCGCTGGGAGTAGGGCACCCCCTTGTACACGGCGTCTAGCAGCTTCTCCTTGACCTGCGTCACCGTGTCACAGTTGAGCCCCTTCACGGGCACCTCGGGCGCGTTCTCGTTCTCGGGGTTCACGCAGTTCAGGGTCTGCAGGGGAGGGTGGCCCAGGGGACATCAGCCTGTGTCAGCCCGGCTCCCCTGGGCATAGCCAGGAGGGGCTCTCGGGAGCGCGTGGAGCGGCGACAGGGACAGGCGGGGTGGTCCTCACCAGGGTCTTGTAGTCGATCTGCTGGCGGATGAGCTTGTCCTCGCTCAGGGAGTAGCGGGCCTCGCCCGTGATGGCGTCGATGGGGCCCTTCTCCATCTGCTGCTTGATGGCGCAGTAGAGCATGAACAGGGGCTCCCCGGCGCACTCCTGCAGGTGGGGTCGGGGGCGTCGTGAGGCTGCGATCCCGGGATCCCCAAAAGCCCCTGGCCCTCCCAACGCCATCCCTGTTGCTCCCAGGCCAACAGAAACAACTGTCCCCTTCTCAGAGGCGAGTGTGTCCCCGTTGCCAAAGCCCCGGGAAGATGGCAGGAAAATCAATGCGAGACGCAGACCCGGCACCTCATGAATATGCATGAGCGCGCCCTAAATAAATCATAAATCAGGAGCCCAGGAGATGCCCGGATGTGTTCAGCCACGCAGGGCTCGGGGGAGTCGGGGGCAGGTCCACAGCACCCTGCAGACCCCGGGGGACCAGAGCCACCCACATCCCACTCGCCGATCTCAGGACACAGCCCCCCAGGAAGCCCCCCGCCCCGTGGCCCATTGCAGGGGTGGACGCTGCACCCCACACTCTTGGTGGGGGGCCTGTGATCTGCTAGATGTCGGGGACCCCCCTGGCTGGGATCTCTGGCTGCTCAGAAAAACGATCCCCAGCATCTAAGGGTGCCCCGAGGGCAGCAGGGGTCCATAGCCCGGGCCAGAGTGGCAGAGCGCACCTGCTGCCCCCACTCCTGACCCCAGCTCAGATGCTGTCCCTACCCCTGCACCCTCTCCCAGGTCCTCACAGCCCTTCTGGGCGGAACCTGTCCTGATGCCCCTGGAGAGGAAGCTGCCCAGGAGCGGGCACCCTGGTGGGTTTGGGTGGAGACCCCCACTCCTGATCTGAATGAATGAGACCATTCGCCTGTGCCTGCACCTTGCAGGGCCAGGGCTGGCTGTGTCCCCTCCCTGCACAGGTGGGTCCCCACGGGACCTGGGCTCAGGGTCCTCCTCAGGTCTGGGCCACCCGGTGGAGTGCAGATGATGCTGTGCCCCAGGTGGGCAGCTCAGGCCGTGCTACCTCCCCCCTGGGGGCCCTGGCAAACAGACAGTGGCTCTGTCCCTGTAACCAGATGCTCCGGGCACCTCGTTAGCATCTGCAGTAATTAAAGAGACAGCTGCTAAGGAGCGGCCACAAACACAGATCATCCCGAGACCTTCCAACAACATGCCTGTCTTTGAAATTATGTTTCATTTGCAAACTTGGCTTCATTAAGTCGGCTGGAAGGAGGAGGGATGCGGAGATCAGCCACCCTGCCGTCAGGAACCGCCTCTCTGCCTGGGGACACTATCTGATGGGAGGGAGGGAGGCCCCCGGAGCCTTCTGGGGTTTCCCTAGATGCCTGCCAGAGGGTTCTGCCAGGCCTGGACCTTGCAGAGGGCAGAAACGGCATTACTACAGCCTCTGAGAGTCAGAGATGGGAGGCCACAGGGCCCACAGTCACTCAGTGAACATCTCAAGACGTCGGGATTCGAACCCAGAGCCATCTCACATCAATGCACCTGCCCCTTCAAATCCAGAGATTCTCAGGAAAGTGGTTCACTCCTGATCAGGTGCCACCCTCCACGCCAGCCCTAACCACTTCCATGACACGGGCACAGAGGGTGTGAGGAGATCGGAGGCTGCAGAGGAAGGAGGCTCAGAACCTAAGTACTCCAGAGACCACGACCTTTCCCTCCTCCTGGACAGAGGTTCATATGTGGTGCGGGGGCTCAGACTCTCCCAAATGTACAGAAACTACCAGATGAAAAGTGCCACTTTCCAAAGGAAAGGTAACCTCAGCAGAGAGGTTTAATACAGGATGGTAAGACAAGAGATTTCTCCGTTTGGGGCAAAGAAATCCCGATAATCCCTACCTCACTCCATAGACAAGTTAAAATCGTTTCTTGGCAATCGTAGGGGTTGTAAAAGATGGAAAGTGGGTATTATTTAAACTCTCCTGCAATATGCTAAAACAAGTAACTCTAGAAACACACAAAGGATAAAAACAGGTGTTTGCAATCCTGACTTCAAAGAAAACACAAAGGTGCCCAGTCAGGCACGTGAAAAGATGCACGAGTTACTAGACATGGTGGTGAGTATCTGTAAACCCAGAGACTCGGGAGGCTGAGGAAGGAGGATAGCAAGTTGGAGGCCAGCCTCAGCAACTCAGTGAGACTCTGAACAATTTAGGGAGACCCTGCCTCAAAATAAAATATCAAAAGGGCTGGGGATGTGGCTCAGTGGTTAAGTGCCCCTGGGTTTGATCCCTGGTACCAAAATAAGAACATAAATAAAATTTTGAAAAATGAATTTCCCTCCTTTTTTAAGGCAGGATAATACTCCACTGTATACCACTGTATAAAACTGTCTTCCTTTATCTGCTGGGTGTATGTCCCCAGGCCCCCAGGAGGTGTCTGAGACCTTGAGCAGAACCAAACCCTATACACACTGTGTTTTCTCAACACAATCCAAGTCCCTTCTTGCGTAAGTGTAGCCATTCATTACTTGCAGTAAATGTCCAGGTGTCACTTGTTCCGGGGGATCCCTTGTCTAAACCGTCACGTAGGTTCGGAGCTTTCTGTCGCGACTCACCATCATCAACGGGGACACATTTTCTGTTCATGTCATCCACACACAGCTGTGACACCTTTTCATCTTAACTAAGCCCTTATCACGCACAGTAGCTGCAACTTTTGCAGTTTGAGGTGAGACAGCAAAACTAGAGCGCGTTTCTTTTTTCTTCGCGATTTCACGGATAGAAAATTCATTGTCACCATAAGTCTTTGCAACCTCAGCATACAAATTCTTTCTTTCCATATTGAGAATCTGTGCTTCAAGGAAGCACTTTACAGTTTCTCTTTGGGAGAGTAAGTAAAATAAGGTCACGTGAACACAAGTACTGCTAGACAGTTGATGTAATAACCAAGATGGCCACTCAGTAACTAACGGGAGAGTAGCATATACAGGGTGGATACACTGGACAAAAGCAGATTCACATTCCAGGAAGGACATGTGAGATTCCATCCTGCTTCTCAGATGGGAGACAATTTAAAACTTACTAATTGCTTATTTCTACAGTTTTCCATAGACTATCTTCAGGCTGCACTTGACCACAGGTAACAGAAACTAAGAAAAGTAAAAGAGTAGACAAGGAGACTATGGTATCGACCGCATTTTGCTTATGTCTTCATCTTCTGCTGGACGCACGGACTCCCTGCCCATTAGGCTAAGTTGAAATAGGTCATGGTTCCACTTCTATACGGAGCCCAGAGCAGTCAAAGGCACACAGACAAGAAAGCCGAGTGGTAAATGCCAGGGCTGAGGGGCAGGGGAGGAGGGAGAAGATAGTATCGAATGGGGACAAAGTTGCAATCTTACAAAAGGAAGAGTTCTGTGGATGAGTGTCATTTAATACCCACCGACTCTACACTTAAAAACAGTTAAGATGGTGAATAAATGCCAAGGGCAGTGGCCACACCTGTAATCTCAGTGGCTCAGGAGGCTGAGGCAGGAGGATTGCAAGTTCAAGGCCAGCCTCAGCAACTGTCTCAAAATTTAAAAAAACAAAACAAACAACAACAAAAAAACCCCTGAAGGGCTGGAGATGTGGCTCAGGGCTTAAGGGCCCTGGGCTCAATCCGGGTACCAAAAGAAGAAAGAAGAGTCGGGACAGAAGGGACCAGAGGAGATGCACGCTCCTTGCTGTGCCCCCTTCCCTGGGGGCCCAGTGGGCCCGAGGGTGGACCTGTGTCCTGCCAGGCCCCTGTGCTCCCACCCTGCCTTTCTCCTCCTGCTGCCTTGTCCAACTGTGGCCTCGCCCCCAGCCCACAAGTCCCTGGGCACCAGGATGGCAGCCTGTCCCTTGGAGCCTGCTGCCCGACACGGCCAGCCCTCTGTGTGTGCGGTCACGCGGGGCCACGCTCTGCCAGGTTTCCACTGACTTAGGACCTGGGAGCAGATCTGCTGACCGGCATCCCGTTCCTCTGGTCGTGGAGACTCGGGAGGCCGAGGCAGGAGGATCGCGAGTTGGAGGCCAGCCTCAGCCACTTAGCGAGGCCCTGAGCAGCTCAGCGAGACCCTGTCTCTCAATAATATACAAAAAGGGCTGGGGACGGGGCTCCGGGGTTAGCACCCCTGGGTTCAGCCCCCAGGACCAGAAAAAAAAGGCTGGGTGCCCAAGAGCCCACCCTCTGCCCGGGGCTCTCTTGCTTCACCTCCTGGGCCACTTGACCTCTGCTCAGTGTCACCCTCCTTGGTCACTCCCTGTGCCTGTGTCCCCTCACCTCGCCCCCCCTCCTCTACTGACTCTCCTCCCTCAGGCAAGGGACGCCCTTCTGGGGACATGGCTCTGTACACAGACGTGCCAGTGGATTGTCCCCGAGCCAGGCTGGACAGGGGACAGCAGAGGGAGGACCGGAAGTCCTGAGGGGCGGCAGAGGCCTGGATTCAGCATTGAGCACTGGCCCTCGCCCTTGACCACCAGGCTGCACCCGTGGTCACCCTTTCCAGGGGAAGCCAGGCGGGTGCCTCTGTGACGCCCAGTGCAGAAACTCAGGCCGTCTGCTCAGCTACTCAGAACCCAGCTAAAGTGCCCGGGACCCACGTCCAGGGGCTTATGGGAGAGCCAGGGCCACCAGACACCGTCCTGAGGGGCCTGCACCCTCCACGTGGGCAGAGACCCCACCTGCTGCCCACTGTCCAGCATCTCCCACCGGCTCTCTGATCCCTGGGTCCTTCCCTCCCACAGGTCACCGACGCCCTTCTGACAGAGGACCACCCTGGCACCCTCTCTGGGACGCGCCCCACCAGCCCCCACTTGCCTTGAGGAACTTGTACAAGAGGAAGGTGAACCAGTTGGTCAGCATCTTCTCGGCCACCGACTCGGTCCTGAGGTTGCAGAACAGAACGCAGCCATGAGGTCCCTGCAGGCCCCACCTACCACGTCCACCCCTGTTTCAACAGAGTTGAAGGTGCCCACAAGCTGGGCACGGTGGTGCACTCTTGCAGTGCCAGTGGCTCGGGAGGCTGAGGCAGGAGGATTGCAAGTTGGAGGCCAGCCTCAGCCACTCAGCGAGATCCTGTCTCTCATTAAAATCTAAAAAGGGGCTGGGGTGTGGCTCAGTGGGTAAGAGCCCCTGGGTTCAATCCCTGGTACCCCCTAAAATGGGGCCTCGACATGCCAGGTGTCTGTGGGAGGCTGGGTGTCTGTGGGAGGCCGGTGGAGGCCGGGTGTCCGCGGAGGCCGGTGGAGGCTCACCGTCGCAGCAGCAGCTTGGGGTGGTTCTTGCTCTCCAGGTTCTTCTCGATGAGGTCGGACAGCAGCTGCTTGAGCACGCCCGTGGCGTACTCCATCTCGCCCTGCAGGGCCGTCATGATGAGCGAGGCCACATTCCCGCGGTCGCGCATGGAGAAGCTACGCTGGGCCTCGAGCGTGCGGATGAAGGTCAGCAGGAAGTGCTTCTTGGTCAGCAGCTGCCCGAACAGCGTCAGCGACTTCTCCACGTTGGCCTGCACCTGTGGGAACACGGCACGCTGCTGGGCCTCGGCGGGGAGGCCGACGTGGGAGGCATGCCCCTTGAGTCCCAGAGCCCCAATGGGCTGATTCCCAGGCCTGCTGCCCTCCTCGGCAGAGTGGACATGCCCTAGAAGTGTCGTCCCAGCCCGTGCTTTCAGGATAGACCTAGACCACTGCCCACGAGACGCCCACTGCAGGCAGACATAACATGGGTGTCATAACATGGTGGTGGAGCTTAGGATGAGAGGGCTGGTTCCTGGCAACCTCTCTGTGGCTGAGCCCTTTGTCCTGCCCTCCAGCCGAACTCACTGCCCCCATCTGCTGGATGCCAAGGGTGCATGTGCACAGTCTCACTGCCTGGAGGACAAAAAGCCACCCTGCCCACCTCCTGGGTGAGGGACTAAAGTTCAGAGAGGGGAAGAGGCTTGATCGGCCCACATAGCATGAAGGTAGTAAACGGAAGTGGAATGCAGGCACGGCTGGCTCCAGGGCTCCTGCTCTATTTCTATCCATACCAAGGCTTGTGAGGGCAGGTGGCTTCCCACGGGGCTATGCCCAGGCCTCATCAGTGATGCCTCACTGCCAACCCAGCGGGTAAGGGAGAAGGACCAGGTAGAACATTCACAGTCACAGCGAGAGACATGCTCAGTGACGGCAAATGGAGAGAGATCCAGAAAAGCATCCAAGGAGACTCAAGTGTTGGGAAGGAGAAGGTGGTGAGTGACCTCTGGGCCCCAAGCCAGTGACAGGAAGGCCCGTTGAGGGTGAGCTCAAGAGGAACTTCCCACCAACAGAGTCAGGGCACCTGAGGTGTGCGGAGACGGGTGTCCAGGCAGGAGACTGTGCAAGCCAGCCTGCTGAGCCCAACTGTGCCAGCCAGGAGGGACACTGGGCTCCCGAGTCCTTCAGTGGCCGGTGTCAACAGAGGAAGCCAGTCCCCGAGGGCCATACGTGCTGGCCGGCCACGGGTCCCCGTAGGCGGAGGACAGCAGTGACCCCACATGCCTGGGGACAGCCAGCAGGCCTACCTCCATCTCCTTGAGCACAGGGTGGTCCTCGATGCCCGGGAAGAGCACCCGCATGGCGTACGTGCGGTAGTCGAGGAATGGGATGCCCGCGCCGTCCAGGTCATTGGTCAGCTCGTGGATGTCCGTCTGCAGCTCTGCGAAGGCTGTGGCCAGGCGCAGAGGGTCAGGGGCCGGTCGCCCAAGCCCCCGATGCCCTCCCGCTGTGGGGGCAGGACCTGGGCATGGCTCTGCCTGTCCCTCGCCTCCCTGCGCCTCAGTGTCCCCTGTCCCAATGCAAGCAGGACCCTGTCCCTTACTGGGGTGTGCTGGGGCGCCCAAGACAGCCACGTGGGACAGATCTGGCACCAGCACTCGGGCCAGGCCAGCTGGGGCCTCCTGTGCCCAAAAGGCTCTCACTTAAGGGTGGGTGGGAGGTGGCTGGTGGCGGGCAGGCTGTCCCTGGGCTCCCAACCCCCCAGGCTGGGAACTGCCACCTGCCAACCTGGGCCCTCAATGGCTGCCCTACCCCCGCCAGTCCTCTCTCTTTCAAGAACAAAGGCCGGCTGGGTGGTGGGGCAGGCTCCGCAGAACATTCCAGAGCTGTGAGGTGTCAGCCCTCCAGCCGCCCCAGGGACGTGCTATCTCATCAGGAGCCAGAGGAGCGGGCGGGCTCTGGGAGACGTCTGGCCCGTTTAATTAAGAGTTGGGCCTTCATCTCCTGGGCACCGGTGCCAGGCGTCTGCGCATCTCCAGCTGCTCTGAAGCAGCTGCTGGCCACCCCTTCACACCCGCTCTGGCAGGGTCACCCCGTACACGGGCTCAGCTGACAGCCAGCCTCCACCAGGGAGAGCCTCAGGGGAGGCCGGGCCTCCGCTGCACACATCTGCCTCCCGCCCGCTAGGACTTCCCACAGGGCAAACCTGGCCACCTGCAGGCCCCTCAGTTCTGCAAGGGACTTAGTTTAAGAGGAGCCAAGCCCCAGGCCAGCGGGTCCTGTGGGAGTTCCTAATAACCCAGGACAGAGCCACAGAGCTGAGGGTCCCAGCCTGTGAGGGGCCCACATGGAGACCCCGCCCACATCGGCCATCTGCACCCACAGCACCTGGGGCAGGGCTGGCTCTGCCAGGGATGAGTATGCGACAGTTCTGTGATGTGCTGGGCAGAGGTGGCGGCCCCTGGTGACCCCGTGGATCACACAAGGAACCCTCTGTTGGGGCTGTGCTCACCCACCCCTAGCCCACAGTCAGCACAGCTGTGACCCCTGCCCACCGCGAAGCCACCTCCTCTGGCCACGCCCCCACCCATCCTTGGGCTCCGCCCACTCAGGGTCAAGGGCTTCAGGGGACCCAGGCCTGAGGAAGGGGAGGGATGAGACCAGGTGCACTCACAAGGTCATAGAGGCCCCCTGGGGCAGCTCAGCTTGTCCCTGGTGGCCGTTTGTGTCACCAAGGGGAATAGTGAGCCCATGAGAGAGGCCCGCATAGGGGAGGGAGGAGACAGGAAGCAGAGTCTGGGCACACAGAGGTCCCCATCTGCTCCCTGCAGAGCCCCACTTAGCAGGTCTCTGCCAGTCACACCCCAGGGCTGGACGGACACACGTCCTCCCCTGTCAACAGGACCAAGCTGCCCGACTCAAGGATGAAAAGCAGCCCACTGAGACCTGTGTGCACCCAGGGGTGACAACAGCCACCAAGGAGAGGCAAAAGCTGCCACACTGCCCACTGGCCATCCTGCCACCAAGCGTGACACAGGGAGGGGGGGGCGGTGCCCAATCTGCAGATGAGGAGGCTGAGGCACAAAAAGGCCGGGTGTCCTGGCCCCTGAATCAAGGCTGCACCGGGGTGCAAATGGGGTGGCACCCCACGGCCCCAGGTAGGCTGCTGACCCCTCCCTGACGTCAAAGGACCCCAGAGTAAGGACACAGGAACCAAGTCAAAGGAACCAGTGCTGGTGGGCGGGACGGGCGGCTGCCCCCAGACTTTGCACTCCAGGGCCACGGCCAGACCCCGCCCCCTCCACCCTGACCCCGCCCCCTCCACCCTGACCCCGCCCCTCACTCTCCTAGCACTCCTCGGCCATGCCCAGACCCCGCCCCTCCACCTTGACCCCACCCCCACACCATCCTCACACTCCAGGGCCACACCCAGACCACGCCCCCTCCACCCTGACCAGGCTCCCACACCCTCCTTGCACTCCAGGGCCACGCCCAGACTCCAGCACCCTGACCCCGCCCCCACACACCCTCCTTGCATTCTAGGGCCATGCCCAGACCCGCCCCTCCACCCTGACCCCGCCCCCACACGGTCCTCACACTCTAGGGCCACGCCCAGACCTCCTGGTCCTCCACCCTGACCCCGCCCCCTCCACCCTGACCCCGCCCCTCACTCTCCTAGCACGCCTCGGCCATGCCCAGACCCCGCCCCTCCACCTTGACCCCACCCCCACACCATCCTCACACTCCAGGGCCACACCCAGACCACGCCCCCTCCACCCTGACCAGGCTCCCACACCCTCCTTGCACTCCAGGGCCACGCCCAGACTCCAGCACCCTGACCCCGCCCCCACACACCCTCCTTGCATTCTAGGGCCATGCCCAGACCCGCCCCTCCACCCTGACCCCGCCCCCACACGGTCCTCACACTCTAGGGCCACGCCCAGGCCTCCTGGTCCTCCACCCTAACCCCGCCCCCACACACCCTCTTTGCATTCTAGGGCCACCCCAGACCCCGCCCCTCCACCCTGACCCCGCCCCCACACCACCCTCACACTCCAAGGCCACGCCCAGACCTCCTGGTCCTCTACCCTGACCCCGCCCCCACACCTTCCTTGCACTCCAGGGCCACGCCCAGACCCCGCCCCCTCCACCCTGACCCCGCCCCCACACACCCTCCTTGCACTCCAGGGCCACGCGGGACTCCAGGTTGTCCATCTGCAGCTGCAGCCGCTTGAGGGTGCGGTCGGCGTCGCGGGACTTGCGCTTGTAGGCGATGAGCACGGCCACGATGACCAGCAGCAGCAGGCCCCCGCCCCCGCCGATGCCCACGATGGCGGGCAGCGTCAGCAGGCTGTCCGAGTACACCTGCAGCATCCCCGGGGAGAACTCGAAGCCGCCGGCCCGCACCTGCAGGGCGGAGGTGGAGGTAGCTCAGAGGCCCCTGCCCATGGCCCTGAGGGTCCCACCCCACACGGTGACACCTGCCTGCAGGCTGCAGGCGACACCCTGCCAACGGGGCCTAGAATGGCCAGAGTGGGGACACGAGGACCCAGGGACCAGGCTGGGCAGGGCTCACAGGTCAAGAGGGTGGGTGGGCGGGTGGACGCACCGTGACCTTGTGCTGGCCTGTGAGGTTGGGCGACTCGCAGAGCAGCTGCGTCTCGGACACGGTGAGGACGCAGGGCGTGGAGCCGATGAGCACCGTGTAGTTGAGCCGGGAGTTACCGGGCGCGGGGGGCAGCAGGTTCCGGCCCTGCGGGGATCGGGGTGCCACAGCGGCGATCAGAGGGGCCTCTGCTCCCACCCGCACCCTGTACCCCTCCCAGGGGTGCGGGACCCACCTTGAGGATGAGCGGGGAGCTGGGCTTCAGCTCCAGGAGGCCCGTGGGGCTGAGCGGCTCCAGCACGGGGTCGGGGTAGTAGACGAAGGTGGACGAGTTGAGCACCAGCAGCGCGCGCACGTTGTCCATGACGAAGCCCAGCTCCTCCGGCCGCTCCCCCAGCTCCGGGGGGCTGCGCGTCGGGTTGTCCACGGAGGGCGCCCGGCACACCATGGTAGTGTCATTGTACACCATGCAGCTCTGGGGACACAGCGCACCACGATGCAGGGCGGGCCTCAGAGAGGCCAACTCCCCCAAGGCAGAGCCCCATCCGAGGGGCTCCCTGCATGGACCACCCACCATCCAGGGCCACCGTGTGCAGGCCACCGCCCACCGAGCCACCAACCAGGGCCCCGGGGGGGGGGGGTCTGCAGACGCTGTGGACTCACATTCTCCCTCTCGACACCTCCATACTTGGCCCGGATACGGGGTTCCCGGACCGTGGCCAGATTGGTGCCCGTGACCGTCAGGAGGGTCCCACCACTGGAAGATGAATGGGAAGTCATCAAATGATAAACAGGAGGGGCGGCACAGCCCCAGAGGGACAGACCCCCCCCCCCACCCCCCAGGGACACCAAGCCGGTCATCTTCCAACAGGGCTCCCACCTGTTGATGCTCCACGCGGGGTCGATCTTCAGGATGGTGGGGTCCTCGGTGTAATTGTACTTCACGTCGGGGTTGGCGAGCTGGGCGCGGTTGATGTTTATGACCACGGGGGCACTGCCAGGGCTCTGCCCCGGGGGCGTCAGGCAACGGATCTCCCGGGAGTTTCTCCTGGAGGGGCCCGAGGGCACCATGAGGTGGCATCCAGGACAATTCCAGAGTGTCCTTAAAGATGAGCTCACGGGAAAGGGGCTGGACCTGTCTCCTGATGGCTGACTGCTCATGACTGCCACTTTCATACCCTCTAGGGGCCACCCCCCCACGCCCCTCGGACCCTGCTTGGCAGATGGACTTAAGTGTCCTCCACTCCTCTGGGCCTCCATCTGCTACCCCTGCCTCAGGTGACCCCGGCCAGGGATCCACACCCACCAGGACTTTGCCTCTTCTGCAGCACAGGCAGCCAATGTCCCTGCCTGTGGCTTCAGAGTATTGCCACCGCCCCAATGAATCAGACCCCTTCCCTATGAATGTCCCTCAATCGGGGAAACGAGGCTTCACCCCTGAATTCCTGGGTCTGAGGTGACAGGAGCCAGGCTGACATCGAGGTCACTGGCTCACCCAGCAGCCAGTTGGTACTACCTACACCTGTCCCCTCAGCTCCGTCACCACGGCCTGGAGGCCCTACCGCAGGGCCTGGCTCAGCTGCAAACATCAGTGATGAGTCTGATAACGGGTAATTACCACAGGAAAATATTTAAAGGGCCGTTCCATTATCATCTCTAATCTAAAATTATCCACTTCAAGCCTCAGGGCTTTTGTTAAGATGTCTGTTTTCTCTCTTCCAAAAAAAAAAAAAAAAAAATCTTTTTAAATACTTCTTATTTTGTTCCCAAGGGAGTCCCCTGTTCCTAGGGAAGGACCAGGGCGGAGGCAGCCAGGTTGTGCCCGCCCCCTGGAGCCAGGCCACGCCCTCCCATCAGCTACCCTCTCTCCTCCCTTGTCTCCCCATGCTGGAGGGAGCCCCTGTCTCCATGGTAACCTTCTCCGCCTCTGGGTTTCCATAGTGATCACCCCAGCCAGGCTCTCCATACCCCGGTTTCCTTGGCAACGGAAGGGGGCACACAGACATGTGAACCAGGAGGAGGGACAGCCCTGGCCACCGACCACCAGTAGAAGAGGTGGGCCATGCCCTGGCCCCCCACTCCCACCTGCACCCCGTACCAGGAGAAGGAACAGGGCCGGCCACCGATGGATACTGCCACATCACTGCCCGCGTTCAGGTGGCTCCCCTCAATGCCAATCCAGGTGCCCCCTGACAGAGGCCCACGGGAGGGACTCACGCGGTAGAAGGTTGGTGTCTGTAAGAAGACTGACTTGTTAGAGCAAAGTCCCCCACAGGTCCCATAGGGACAGGTCCTGCTCTGCCAACCTGCACTGCCAGCTGTGGCCCTAGCAGCACAGAAGCCCCACAGCTGGGGTCTCAGAAACTGCTCAGGGTGGCCGGAGAAGGCTGGAACCCAAATCAGCACAGGAGGGCAGGGGACAGCCCCTGAGGCTGCAGAACAGGACAGAGCACGGCTGGACCAGGGGACCCCGAGGAGGCCAAGCAGGTGGGCTGTGGCCAGAGCCTGCCCCTGCGCCCAGATGAGGCCCCGGGGCCACCTCCTCGGACAGGCAGGGAGCCAAGCGCCGCATGGGCGGGACTTACCACGAAGGTGAAGCGCTTGGGCGACAGGGCCCGGTAGTGGGGGGAGCAGTCCCTCACGCACACCTCCACCAGGGCGTCGTGGGCGCGCACCGTGCTGGCGTCCCCGATCTCACAGACGATCCTGAGGGCGCAGGCCGGGCCTCAGCAACTGCAGGCCGGGCCGCCCCCCACGCCCGCTGCCCCCGGGCCGCACTCACTGCTCGGCGCTGATGTACTCGCTCTCCACCGGGCTGCACAGCACCTTGCCCACGCGCACGCCCAGCCGCACGTCCTCAAAGCGGAGGCCCAGGTTCTCGCCGGTGATGGTGAGCCGCGTCCCTCCCTGCCTGGGGCCCGTCTCTGGGGACAGCTGCGGGAAGGCAGAGGCTGGGGCACTAGTACCCACCTCAGGCCCAGTACAGCCAGGGACATTGCGCCTGGGCAGGCTCGGTGGCACCAGGGTGGCAGGCAGGTGAGCCGGCCAGGGCGGGGCCAGGGCGGTGGGGCGGGGCCAGGGCGGTGGGGCGGGGCCAGGGCGGTGGGCAGGGCCAGGACCAGGGCCAGTGGGGATCATCCAGGGTGGCTGGGCGAGGCCAGGGGCAGGGCGGGGCCAGGATGGTGGGGCAGGGCCAGGATGGTGGGGTGGGGCCAGGCGGTGGGCAGGGCCAGGGCCAGTGGGGCCGTCCAGGGTGGCTGGGCGAGGCCAGGGCCGGCTGGGCGGGGTCAGGGCAGTTGGGCGGGGCCAGCGGTGGGCGGGGGCAGGGTGGGGCGGTGCCAGGATGCTGGGGCGGGGCCAAGGCGGTGGGGCAGGGCCAGGGCCAGAGGGGACCATCCAGGGTAGTTGGGCGGGGCCAGGGCCAGGGTGGGGCGGGGCCAGGATGGTGGGGCAGGGCCAGGGCGGTGGGGCGGGGCCAGGGCCAGTGGGGGCCGTCCAGGGTGCCTGGGCAAGGCCAGGGCCGGCTGGGCGGGGCCAGGGCAGGGGGCGGGGCCAGCGGTGGGCGGGGGCAGGGTGGGGCGGTGCCAGGATGCTGGGGCGGGGCCAAGGCGGTGGGGCAGGGCCAGGGCCAGAGGGGACCATCCAGGGTAGTTGGGCAGGGCCAGGGCCAGGGTGGGGCGGGGCCAGGATGGTGGGGCAGGGCCAGGGCGGTGGGGCGGGGCCAGGGCCAGTGGGGGCCGTCCAGGGTGCCTGGGCAAGGCCAGGGCCGGCTGGGCGGGGCCAGGGCAGGGGGCGGGGCCAGGACAGGGGGCGGGGCCTACCTTGAGGATCTTGGGGTCCGCGCAGCGGCTGCTGCCATGGCGCGCGTGCATCCAGGCCGAGGGCGCATCAGCGGGGCAGTGGTGTCGCAGGGAGCAGCGGCGCTCGGCCACGCACCAGCCACACTCGAAGCGCGGGTCGGCCTTGAGGCAGAGGCCGCAGCTCTCGCGCAGCGCCGGGCACTTGTAGAGGTGGGCTGCGGGGAGCAGGCGCGTCAGCCCTGGCCACCCACCATCCCGCCTTCCCAGCACCCCGCCGTGCCCGGGGCGGCCCCTCGCTGCTCACCCTGGATGTTCTGGGGGTTGTCGATGACAAAGTTGCCATTCCACACGACAGACAGGTTCACCGGCAGGTCGCTGATGTCGTTGCCCTCGTAGGAGTACTGCCAGGGGTGGGCACGGGGTCAGCCACCCCCTCCACAGTGAGGGGGGTCAAGCCAGCACCCACCCTCCCCAGGGAGACCTGGGGTGTCCAACCTGGGTCCTGAAACCTGCGGGTCACTCCCTTGTCCCCCACCTCCCCCGGGCATGGCTCCCCCACGGCCTCACAGGGTCTTCCTTCCTGGTTTCAGGACCCCAGCCTGCAGCCAAGCCTCCTCCCGAGCAGGGTCAACTGCCTGCCCCCCAAGCTCAGCCTCCCTGGGGCGTCCTGGACACCACCTCCAACCTCAAGGAGGCTGGGAAACCAGGACTCTCAGCTGGGCCCTTTGGACCGGGTCCGGGATGCTCTGAGAACTTCAGTATCTTCATCCCCTACGAGGACCAGGCTGCCCCGCAGGGTGCGATGGGTCTCCCCTGGCCAGTCGAATTACTGTTGTGCTCAGCTCTGTCCCCAGCCCCTCCCCAGGCTGGCCTGGCCTCAGTGTAACCACCCCGTCCCCAGGGGCTGGGCCTGGCGCTCCAGCTGTGTCCCACTTTCTGGAGTCGATGACCTCAACGCCATTCCTGTGCTGGGGGGCAGAGTCGGGGAGCCCAGTGTCTCCCAGGGGCGGCCCAGCAATTCATCATTTTTTATCTGCAGGAATTTAATTGGATCCCATCAAATTCCCTGATACTCTCTCTTCCCTTTAGACGCGGCTACGGGAAAGATGAATGTGGGCCCGGAGAGGAGGGAGGAGGGGCCGACACTACAGATGGGCACAGAGAAGGGCACGTTCACACGGTCAGCCCTGAAGCCCCGAGGAGAGGGGAGATGAGGCCAAACAGGGAGCCGGCGGGAGGTGGGTGGGGTTCAGGGGAGGTGGGACTCAGTGGCAGAGACGGGAAACACAGGCTGGAGGGCAGGGGACTGTCTAGCTGCTGCTCAGGGGACAATCGGCACAGCTGAACGGGGTCCACTCTGACCCCAGGGACCTCATCCACACCCTGCCCCAGAGCTCTGGGGATGGGGGTCAACGGAGGCCTTGCTGAGCACCCTGTGCCCCATGGGCCAGCCCAGAGTCACCCCCGTTGCCAATCAGGGCCCAGGGCCATGCCACAGCTGTGCTCCTGCAGAGGACAGAGCAGGACTGGGCCCAGGCCTCTGATTCAAGCACGCCCCCCCCCATCTGGGAAAGGCCCCTGAGAGCCCCCCGTTCTTGTTAAATTCAATAACGAAGCTTTTAAAACATCACCCCGTCAGACTGAAGCTCCCGAGTGAGTGTCTTGACTTGGCACTCGGGCAGCGCCCATCTGCTAATGTTCAAATGCAGGTAGGTGTCCTGCGCTTGGCCACAGGATGCAGGCAGGAGTCGGGGGGCTCTGTGGTCCCCCTGAGCCAGGGAGCAGCACCTGGCCCTCCCTGCACCCGCCTGCCCCCACCTGTGGCCCATTCACCCGCACGACCCTGGCACAGCAATGACCCAGAGAGTCCGATGTGCAAGCGAGGGGCACCGGCCTTCTGTAAGGGCACAGACAGGGTCCCAGGGCTGTGCGGGGACAGTCCCTGGCGGCTCACAGGTCCACCCCGCCCCACCCTGCCTGACCCGGGGGGCCTCACCGAGGAATTCTGGCACTGCAGGCTGGAACTGTTGAAGCGCAGGGCGGTGACGCGGGCCGGGCTGCCCGGGATGTGGAAAAGGCACTCGTACCCCCGCTGGCCAGACTGTGGCTGGGGCAGGTTCCGAGCCGCCAGGGTGATGGGCTTCACCACGCCCACGGGCACGTAGATCTGGGTGGAGGGCAGGATCTGCGGGCAGTCCTGGGGACAACAGGCTTCTTGGGGACCGGCCAGAGGAGCGTGCTCTCCTGCGCCCTGACTGCGGTCCGTGTGCAGAGCCCTGGGCCGATGGTGCCATAGTCAGCCTTGGCACCCCGAGGACGTGAGTGACGGCCAGCTCTCGGCATCCTGTTCCCCGCCAGGCTGGCCCAGGGATGTCCCCCTCCTTCCAAAGACCCCAGCGTCTGGACAGCGGAGGGGCCCCATCTGGCCTGCATTGACAGGCCCCTAGAGGCAGCCGCCACCAAGATGCTGGGGAGCAAGGTCCCAGCTGGGGACCTCGGGAGCGAGTAAAAATAGCCAGAGCCCAGCAGAAAAACAGCCCGGGCTCCTGGGGACAGCGTTTCGGCACCAAAGACCTGATGCAATGACCCTGGGTCCTTGCAGCACGTCGGGTGGCGGCCTGGGGAGGAGCGGCCCCGGGGAGCGCAGAGCCTGGCTTTAAATAGGGATGCTGAAAACAGGCCCTTGTCCCCAAGGCCTGTCACAGCTCCCAAAGCGGGCCCTGGGTCCCGGGCCAGCTCGGCAGAGACTGCCAGGCCCCTGCAGGGGACAGGGACTCTGACTCAGCCCCTTAGGCCTAGAAAGGACCTCACAGTTAACTGCTGAGCGTGCAGATGTCCCTGTGGCCGCAGGCCTGAACTCAAGGGCTGTGCTCAGGCCAGTGAGGAGTCCCTGCACCCTCGGGCCCAGGCTGGAGTGTCACTGTGACTACAGGAGGCCACTGGGTCCAGGAAACTTCTTGGCTGGTGGCAGGAGACAGAACGGGGTCTCCCCATAGGAGGTCCTAGCCAGCGTCCCGCGCTGCCACGTGACCCACAGCCAACAGCCCCGGGTGTGACCCACAGCCAGCAGCACTGAGCAGCCTCGACCTGCCGCCCCAATACTCCAAGGTCACCCCTGTCCCCGCTGCCCTCCTGCCCGCCCAGACTCCACGGTGACCACCACGCTCTGGGTGGCCTGGGTCAAGGCCTGGTGGATAGACACCTGGGGAAAGGCTGCGGGCTCCCTTGGGAGGCTGGGATCTTGTGGAGGCTGCCCAGCCTCCCTTCACTCAAGGGCTTCTGGGTCAAGCTGGGGCCAGGCCAAGAGGTGTCCATGACCCACCTGGAGTCCTGTGCCCCTGGCCCTTCCTACGCAGCCCCGTGGAGTCCGCATCTGATACCTGTCCTGTCCACTGCTTGGGGTGGCTGGGAGGCCACGGCGAGGAGGGTCAGGGGCCCCGAGCCACGGACACTTCCTGCCCCACAAGTACCCAGCAGGGGACCCGCCCTCACCCCCTCTTTCCAGCCAAAGCGCGTGGTGTCTGCCACAATCGGAGGGTCCTGGCCCCAGGCTGGACACAAGGAGCCCTCCCCAGGCCTGACCACAGTGTCCTGCCCACGCGGTGCCCAGCAGGCCCTGGATCTGCCCCGTAGCCTGTGGACAGACCCAGCGCTGTGCCGGGCTCCAGCGTGACCACTGAATTATCAGAAGTCACCACGCTGTCCTGCAGGACTGTCCCCCACCAGCTGATCCCAGAGTTCCCTGTCTGCCTGCGAGATATAGGCCACCAGGCCCCGTGTCCCCCAACCAGGCCCCGTGTCCCGCAGCCAGGCCTGAGCCCCAGGCTCGCACTCCACCGTCACCAGGGCCTAGGCAGTGTGTCCCTCTGCGCCCAGGGCTGCCCGCTAAAAGAGGCCCAGCCCAGGGACTGATCTGAAGCCTCCCCACATAGCCCATGGGTCACAAAGGAGACCACAAAACAGCACTGGCCAAGACCACCCAGAAGGCTGTCCCCACTGCCACAGACCCTGCTACACAGTGACCAGCGCCCTCCCGGACTGACCCGGTCAGTCGCACCCCTGGGGTACGAGGCCAGCAGCCCGACAGTCCAACCACTCATGGGACGCTCCCGGCCAGGCCGTGGGTGGCACGCAGGCAGGGCTGTCTGCGCCTCTGAGACCCGAGACCCTGTCACCGAGCCTTACCTCAGACACGTTGACGCGGCCTTCCAGAAAGGCGCAGTCGGCGGCGTTGTGCGTGCAAACGTGGCGGTATTTGCACCAATGGCAGGGGAAGGAGCCGTTGACACAGGACAGGCAGCTGCAGAGGGAGGGCGGGCCGTGAGGCAGGCCCACACCCCAGCCAGGAGCACAACGCCCTGCGCTCCCACCGCGCTGCCCCAGGGCCTTTGCACATGCTGCTTCTGAGAGAAAACCTCCCCCAAATGGTTTCCCGCCTGCCTTACTGTCCCCCCGTCTCCACTGTTTTCTTCTCCAGAGCCTTGGTCACCCCACACCAGCGGCTGTGGTGACCGCACAGAACTGACCACAGCCTCCGTCCACATCCGCCTCCCTGGCCAGAACCACATCCCACTTGAGCAGCGGCTTGTCTGTTTGAATCTGACAGGGCCTGGGCCCTGTGACAGGGACCGGCCATCACAGGTGCTGTGTCCAGGCCCAAAGTCTCTGGAGGAGGCTGCCCCCCTTCTCTCCAGAACCTCCCTAGTTACTAGCTGATGCCACTGCCCCTGGCCATCTGCCCTCGGGGCCCTGAGAGGCCAGGTCTGGGCCACCGTACCAGTCCTACTCAAGACTGTCCCCTCCCTGAAGTCCTGGTCTCTGTTGTGCTGCCTGCGGTCTCTGGCTCTCCCGGTGGCCAGCGAGGACGCTTATGTGTGAATCTGTACGTCACCCCCTGCTCAGGACACAGCCCCACACCCGAGGCCACCACGGGCCCTGTGGGTGGCACTGCCCCCCCCACCTGCTGCCTGTCCCCCTCTCGGCCTGGCCCCTGCCTGGCAGGTGGCTCTCGTGGAGGCCTCTCCCTGCTCCCTGCCCAGCTGGCCCGAGGGGGGGCCCACGGAGCATCTGCAGAGAGACAGCAGGGGACAGAGGCAGGCGGGCAGGCCCGGGCCCACGGCAGGGCTCGGGGACACTCACGACTGGTGGACGCTGCAGTTGTAGAAGACGAAGTCCACGGACGCGAACTTCTTCCCCGTCTCCTTGGACTTGAGGTATAGCTTCACCACCCGCTGGTCCCCTGAGGAGCACCACGGGCCTGTCACCAGGGCCACCAGGGCCACCAGGGGGGACAGAGCCCAGGACGAACCCAGGCAGGGGCGGGCGTGCCCAAGGACCCTGGAGGTCCTCGAGGTCAGCCTCCAGGTGCGCAGGGTCCCCAGAGCATGAGGCCTCGTGTGGACCCAGGACCCTGTCCCGTTCCTGGTGGTGGCCTCGGGGACTGGCTCGCGGGGTGGCCTAGAAAGTCTGAAACGCACCTAAGGGACGGGTCACAGCGGCCCCAAGGGGTCAGCGCCCATCACACTCAGGGTAGCCCCCCCTCCCCAACCTCGCACCCCTCCAGCTCCGCCTGTGCCCTGGTCCCCTCCTGTCACCTACGCAGCCTGAGACTCTGGTCATCATGAGCCACCCATCTGCTGCCCCCTACGCAGGGCACGGGGTCCTCTCCATCCATCAGGGGGCAGCAGGTGGCGGGGTCCCCTAAGGTGACCTTGGCTGTGAAGGGGGAGATGTCGGAGCTCCAGGGGACCCCTTGCCCCCCACGGCCTCTGGGGCAGCAGGACCCTCACCCTGGCCCCGCGTGATGGGCGCCACCTCCCTGGCGGAGGGCGAGCGACAGTGGATGCGGCCATCGTCCAGGATGCCCTCGGACTCCGTGAAGTCCTCGAAGGAGCAGTTGACGCCGGCCGAGAGGTCGGGGACATTCCAGGCTTGTAGCAGGAGCTGGCCACGGCGGGAGGGAGCGGTGAGCGGACACCGGGGTCCCCACCCCATCCCCTCACCCCGCAGCGGGGTGGCCACACTCACCGGCACTTGGGACACGGTGACAGACACGTTGCGCGGCTGCACGGTCAGCTGCACGCACTGCAGCAGGTCGGAGGCGAAGCGCTGGGGCTCGTCCGCGCGCTCACACGCGTCCTGCCTCGAGCAGCTGTGGTCAGAGGGTGCTGAGGCCGGCCAGGGGACCCAGGGCCACCCGCCCAGCCAGCCACCACCCAGGGCGGGGACACAGGGCCCAGCCCGCCACCCTGGGGCGCCCTGCTCCTAGCCACAGTGCCCAGGAGGGACCCTAAGGAGCCCTGGGCACCTTGGGTAGCATGGAGGCTGTGGTGCCCTCCCAGGCTGCGGGCCACCAGGTCAAGGTCAGGGCCTCCCGACTCACACGCTGTGCAGGACACACCAGCCGCAGTGGGGGTCCCGAGACCCCAGGCACAGCTCGCAGGACGCGTACTGCACACAGCTCTCCACGGGCACCCGTGTCACCTGCGGTGGGAGGCCAGGTGTCAGACCATTCTGGTCCTCAGGCCTCCCTGGTGCTGTCTTCAAAGGCCACTCCTAGCCTCCATGAGGCCAGGAGGCCAGCCTCTGGTGTCCCCGCTGGCTCACTGGCCCTGCCCTCCCACCCTCCTCAGCCTCCGGTCCCCAGGTGGCGTTAAAGCAGAACAGAAGCAGCCCAAGAAGTCACAGCGAGGGACAAGAGCCACAGGCCTGGAGAGCAGGCCGGCTGACCATGGGCCCCCCCCCAAGATGGCAGCCACAGCCCCACGGGGGGCGGCCCGTCTCTGCCCCAGGCCCAGGAATTCAGAGCTCCAGAGGCAGCCCAGCCCCCCACTGCCACCCGTGCTCTGAAACTGCTCCCTCCAAATCTTTGTCCCCGACAGGGAGGGACTGGGAATTCCTAACACCAGGCCCAGGAGAATCTGGACGCAGCGAGGACCCTCACATCTGTCCCCACTCCCTAGGACATGTGTCTGTTGGTGACACAAAAGTGCACAGTGAGCCAGGCACGGTGGCACACATTGGTCATCCCAGTGGCTCTGGAGGCTGAGGCAGGAGGATCGCAAGGTGGAGGCCAGCCTCGGCAAAGGCAAGGTCCTAAGCCACTCAGTGAGACCCTGTCTCTCAATAAAATAGAAAAAGGGCTGGGGACCGGGCTCAGGGGTCGAGGGACCCTGAGTTCAATCCCCAGTACTCCCCCCCGCAAAAAAGTGCTCACTGAGACCTGCCCAGCCAGGTCCACTTGCCCCCTGGGCGTCCCTGTGGAAGAAGAGGTGGCTCCCCACTCACAGTGGACCCCAGCTTCCCCGATCCCCCACCCCGAGTCCCGCACTGCCCCACAGCCACCCGGGCACCCACCTGTTTCTCCGTCATGGCGTAGAGGTACTGGCGGTTGGGGCTGAGGACGAGGTCGCGCAGGATGGGACTGCCCTCTTGGGCCACTATGCTTTCGTAGGCCAGGGCCGGGCGGCCACCAGGGTTTGCGAGGTCCACCAGGATCTGTGGTGGTGAGGAGGGTCCTAAGCGGGGCTCTGCTGATGCCCTTGTGTCACACCCACGCCTACTCCAGGCTGGCGGTCCCAGGCCTCCCCCACCAGGAGGAGGCTGGGTTCAGAGAAGGCCAAGGCCAGCCACGCTGACAACCGCTGAGCCAGGTCCCGTCCTCAAGGACAGGGAGCCCACGCAGGGCACCATGGGGCCCAGAGAGTCCCTGGTCCCTTTATCAGTGCACAGAGCCCAGAGTGGAGCAAGGCAGAGGAGCAGAAGGGAGGCCAGGAGCCTGCAGGGTGTAGAGGCCCAGATGGAGTCCTGGGGTGTCCTGGGGGTTGGGGACACCCCTGGTAAGAAGCCGGCAGGAGAGGAGGCACCTCAGGGCGTGGAACTGTATTCCAGGTCCCAGACAAGTCGGGGCTCGTCACCCAGGTCCGCCCCTCTGCCCTGAGCGCCAGGCTGCAGTATTTTTAGTGGCTTTTACCAAACAAATGGATTTAATTAACAGCGAGACCCAGGGGACTCTCCAGAGATGGGACTTGGGGCGTCCTCACAGCCCAGCGGTCTCCTGGACGGGCCCAGGCCTGCTGCTGCCCACAAGTCACGGGCCTGTCCAGCACGGTCACCTCTGGGCTCTGCACCTCGACCCAGGGGCAGGGACAGGGCCTGGCACAGGGCGCTTCTTGGTGTCCCTGTGGCCATGGGGCAGGGCAGGCCCAGGGCAAAGGGCCGAGCCAAGGTCTGGCTCAAACAGCTCCTGGGGCTGGGCCCAGGCGGCCAGCCGGGGTGGGGACGCTGTGAGTCTGGCTAAGGAGGCGGCCGTGGAGGGGAGGGACACATTCCTGAGAGCCCCCGCCCCCCACATCCGCTCAGCTGCTTAAGTCAAACCAGACCCGGAAGAGCTGCGCAGGGGGCGGGGACAGCACTGTCACCCAAACTCTGGGGACGCTGGCCTCGGCGAGGAGGGGACACCAGGCGGACACAGGGCTCAGGCACAGCGCCGGGCGTCCTGTGAGTGGGACAGGGACACACCCAGCCCTGCGCCCGGCCAGTCCTGCCATGGCCTGTGGGGGTGGGAACCCAGATGTCCTCCTCAGGGTGCACGACCCCCACGCCCCGGGTTGGGGACAGAGGTGCTGCTCACAGGAGCTGGGCCAGCCCCGGGCCCGATGCGCCCCAGCGGGGGAGCCCGTGTGGGGGCTGAAGTCCCCCGGGGCCTCAGTTTCCCCACCTGTGAAATGGGAATGAACGGGTCTAGCCGGGGACCCAGACCTCCAGACCCGAGCAGGACGCTGCACGTGTCCCCAGGCGCAGGTCCCCCCAACCTGCGGACACCCCGGGAAGACCCAGCGCTGCCCAGTCTTTGTGGCCCCATGTGGACCCCCGAGCCTGGCCCTTCTCCCTGCCCAACAGGGGTGCTTTCTATATGCACCGACCTCCTGTCCCCACTGGGCCTGTCCCCAGGCCTGCCACCCCCCTTGCCACCCAGGGCCGGGCACAGCAGCCCCTAGGCCTGGGGTGGGCAGGAACGAGAAGAGGACAGAGTCCTGGACAATCCGGGGACACAGGCCAGCCCAGGCTCCCAGACACCCTGCCCCCAACCCACAGGCACGGGGCCGACTCAGATGACCGGGACAGGTGGCCCCCAACAGCTGCAGCTAGGGGCACGCGAGGCCAGCTGTCCCTCCACCTGCCCTGCACGGGTCACCCCTGCCCCTTCACACACACGGGCGGGTCCCAGGGAGACAGGGCCCCAGCAGACGGACACAGCCGGGAGGCAACACCCGAAGTAGACAAGACTCTGGGGACAGTCACACTGTGTCCCGAAGAGCCCCCGCGTCCAGGCCCAGCCAGACAGACCTGTGCGCATACGTGTCACGGAGACCCCGGGTGCAAACCAGACCTCCCTGCTGCACGGGGGGCACAGCATGTGTCCCCAAAGTAGGAGGAGCCAGCGCCCACCAGGAGGGCACTCCAGACAGAGGGCAGGGCACGGGGCCAGGGCGGCTGGCAGGATGGGGGAGCCCACGTGCCGCCGCCCACAGCTGTCCACTCCAGGGCCACCCACCTGCAGGCAGCCTGCTCTTGGGGCAGCTGGGCCCAGCCGTTCCCTGGCCACAGCAGCTGGGCCTGTGGCAGAGGTACCCTGGGCACGGGGACCAGGCCAGGGGCATCCCTGGGTGTCCCCTGCCACCTCCAGCCAGGATCTCCTGACTCTGGACACTTCTCCCCAAGGACCACGGGAACTGGCCAGCAGCCCCTCCCCCACACCTGCAAGGGGCCCTGCCCTCACCCGGACATGGCCACCAGACTGCACCAGGGCACGGGCCCCCAGCGGCCAGCTCAGGAAGGGACACAGCTCAGCCCACCCGGCTTCTGCCTGGGCATCCAACCCTCGGGGTCCCCGGTCCCTCCTGTACACTGGGGAGTCACCCCCAGGCTCCCCCCCAAGGGAGAGGCCAGGAGCAGGCTGGGTCCCCATCTCCCCTGTGGACAGAGCTCGTGCCACCACACGGTGTCCCTGATCTTCCCATAGACAGCCAGGGAGCAGGCCCGCCCAGTGTCCCCAGGCTGGCCCCTCTTCCTGCCCAGCAGGCCCCAGGGTCCCACTAGGCAGGGAAAAGCCTGGGTCAGGGCCCTGGGGGGCCCATGGCCACCCAAGGCCTGTCCCACTGCTACGGAGGGCGGGCGGGCAGCTGACAGCCTGGCCAGGTCAGCTGTCCATCCAGCCCAGAGGCAACAAAGGGCCCATTCTGCAGGCGGAGGGCAGGCGGGGGCGCCAAGGAGGACGTCTGGCCCGTCCAGGCTGAGAGCCAAGGCCGGCACGCGCCCTAGCTGCCCGGAGGCAGGGGGCTGCCCAGCCAGAGGACCGTCACCCACCGCCACACGTGTCCCCAGGAGGGGGCGGGGATCTCCTGCGCCATGTCCCCTTCCCCGTCACCAACCCGCGGCCCCCTGGCTGAGGGCAGGTTCCAGGCCCCTTCCCGGGTCCCCGCCATTCTGCCAGGCCAGGAGGAGTGTGACACTGGAAAGCACTGAGTGACTTCCTCTGGGGACAGGGGACCCAGAAATCCTGCGTTTCCCACCCAAACCTTTTTTTTGCCGGGGAGAAGTAGGGACCAAGCAGGTCAGGGCCCAGCAGGTGCAGTGACCTCTCAGCAAGCAGGGGACCTCTCTGACCCTCGGTCTCCTCTTCGCCACCAGCTGCCTCACAGCAGAGTGTGAGGATTCAGGAGCTCACCGCTCCACAGGGCGGGGAGGGGGTGTTTGGAAGCTGCCTGGAGACGAGGTCCCACATCCAGACCCCGGTGTGGGGCAGAGGGACACAGGTGGCACAGAGCACTCGGTCTTTGGTCACCCTGACCTAGGGCTGGGCTGGGGTCCCCATGGTCACCCCTGGGTCCCTGCAGCAGGGGCAGGGGTCCGCTGGCCTGTGTCTGTCTCAGCCCCCCCCCCCCTTTCCTTCTGCAACTCCAGTGGCACTCGGGACTCTGACCCTCGGCAGCGCCCCTGGGGCAGGCCTGGGTCCTTAGAAATCTCAGGGACAGACATGGGCCCCTGTGTCCTGCTCCCTGCCCTGGCTGACCAGAGCCCTGCCGCTCCCCCAGAGTCCTGCACCCTCGATGCTGATCGCTGGCCACCCAGAGGCCCCGCCCCTGCCCACCTCGGCTCCCATGATGCACTGGGACATGGCCCTGCCCTGCCCTGCCCCTCCTCGCCGTCCCAGTAGCCAGCTGCTCCGGCCTCCCCAGCCACCGCGGGTCCCCTCTGCCCAGGGAGGAGGGGACGGCCCCGTGTGGAAGCCACCTCCCCCGGGAGGCCATGCTCAGGGTAGGGCACAGGAGGCCACTGCTCAGGGAACAGCCCCCAGGATGGCCAGTCTTATCAAAGGTCAGGTGCCCACCTCACACCAAGGTCCTCCACGTGGGTCTGGAGGGGACCCCGCTGGCCACCGGCACTGAGTGTGCAGAAGCCCGCACACTCACACTCACACTCGTGCACCACCAGCTCCGGGGCTGAGCGGCACCAGTCAGACCAACAGGGCCAAGGAGGGGACCTTCCCTGTGTCCTTGGTGACCCGCTGACCTAGGAGAACGGTCACAGGTGGACACAGCTTTCTAGGAAGCACAGATGTTCGAGGCACTGCCCCAAAGGGCTGGGACCACAGCCCCGGCCACAGCAGGATACCCACAGCAACTGCACCTAGGAGCCGACAGCCGGGTCCCCTCCCTTCCCTACCAGTGACCACAAGCTGGACACAGCACACAGCCACAGGGCCCCCACCTGGACCTCAAACCAGCAAGAGAGCCAGGTGCAGGGACCCACATCTGTCATCCCACCGGCTCAGGAGGCTGAGATGGGAGGATCGAAAGTTGGAGGCCGGCCTCAACAACTTAGTAAGTCCCCGAGCCACTCAGGGAGACCCTGTCTCTAAATAAAATGCAAAATAGGGCTGGGGACGGGGGTCAGGGGTCGAGTGACCCTGAGTCCAGTCCTCAGTACCAAAAAAAATCCCCCAAAAACCAACACCCAGCAAGAGAGACGGAAATCAGACGACAGGTCACGAGGCCCAGGCAGCCCAGCAGAGACCTAGCAGGTGGCCCGACACCTGCCCACCAGAACCACGCGTGAAGCTGAGTGCTGGGCCGGGCTGTCCCTGACCTGCAGGACACAAGGCCTCGTCCACCTGAAGGCAGGGGACACGCGCTGGAGCGTGCATCTAAAATGCACACGCGACGCAGACGGGCCTCTCACGGAGGCCGGGCACCGGGAGGCAGAAGGCACCCTGTGTGACCCGGCCACGAGAAGTCCAGGCTCCTCAGATGGAGGCCAGCCAGGGTGGTCCCTGGGTGCTGCTGTGTCCTCACGCGACACCCGACTGCAGGCCTCCATGTGCCTTTGTGGACTCACCACGGTGGGGCCCGGGGACCCTTCTGGGGACACGGGGACCCTCCTGCAGCAGGGCTTCCAGAGACGAGAGCCTCTGGAGGTCAGGAGGGCTTCCTTGTCCCCAGACCCCGAGCAGCACACAGTAGGCGCTCTGCAGGGACGCGCGTGACGAAGCAGAGCCATTGCAAAGGGAGAGGCAGGGGTTGAGGCCGGAGGCCAGCGGAGAGGCCGAGGCAGGAGGATCTCATCTCCTGCCTGCTGAGCCGAGCTGTGCCTGTCCCGTGGGCCATCGTCCCCGCAGCTCTGAGACAGTGTGACCAGTGCATGGGGCCCGTGAGCCCAGGGCTCTCTGGGAGGTCAGGGCTGCGTGGGCTACTGGAGTGTCCAGGGCCAGCCCCAGGACGCACGGGAAGGGGTCTCCTTCCTGAGCAGCGTGGTCCTGCAGCACAGGTCCCTGGCCATGGTGTGGTGGCCACTGGGATGCAGGAGCTGGCCCCTGACACTCTGTCAATCACAGGTCAGCTGCTAGCGATCACAGTCGAGAGACCTCAGAGCCCAGGGACCCAGATCCTCCTGAAAAACCGGATGCGCAGGCGACGGGCACATCATCAGGCCTGGCACGGTGACCAGAGAGGGCAGGGCGGCGCCTCAGACGGGCCCAGTCCCTTGGGTCCCGCTGCAGCAGCGTGAGGCCGGCCCAGGGTGCCCCTTCGTCGCCCAGCGACAGGGCGGGGACTGTCCCCTTCTGCATTGCAGACGGGGAAACCCGGGCCACGGGAGGCCAGGCCCTGAAGTCCCTGCCACAGCGCAGGAGCCTTGGGGGAAGCTGTGCCCAGGGCTGGGGACCCCCAGGAGGATGCTGAGAGGGTCCTGCAGGAGAGGTGGCCTTGGAGGGGGAGGGGCAGGGGCCAGGCAGGGCTCTGGGGCCCCCAGCCAGGCGCACAGCGGAGGCTGGCGGGTCTTAAATTAATCGGCTACAATTTTACGCAACAGCACGTTTGGCAGGTCCTGGCCCCGGGCCAGCCATGTCCCTGGGCTCCCCAGATGCTTTTTAAAGCCCGGGAAGGACCGGGCCTGGGAAAGAGGGGGCGTGGCCAGGCCTGCAGGCCTGCACCAGGGCTGGGCGGTGGGATGGGGTGTCCCCAGGGTCCAGGCTCTAGCCGGCAGCAGAGAGAGCAGGAGGCGGGGACACGGCACCCACTGTGCTCAGCCTCAGGGGACAGGAGGCATCTCCAAGTAAACACAGGGAGAGAGGAAGGCCTGCCCTGCCCAGCAAGGGAGGGGATCTGCTGTGGCCCTGACCCTGGAGCACGGCCACCCCACTCCCAGGCAGGGCCCTAGGGTGAGGCCGGGCAGAGGGGGACTCCGAGTCACCACGGGAGGCTGGAAACAGAGGCCACACCAACCTCAACGAACCTCACACAACACCCACAGTGCACGGTGCCCCGGGCAGGTTCAAGGGCAAGAGGACAAGCGGGCAGCCCCCTTGGCTAGGTCAGGGGCAGGCAGGGGACCCCACGCGCCCTCAGCGGGGGACAAAGGCCACTGAAGGAGGAGATGAGCGCTCTCAGAAAGCGGCCAGGCCTCCCGCCACGTCCTCCAAGGACCCACCAAAAAAAAAAGGGAGGAGGCCTGGAGCCAGCAGCCCCCAGTGCCTCGGTTTCCTCATCTGTCAAACTGAGGAAGAGACCGCGGTGAACTTCCAGTGGGAGCGCTCCCTGCAGGGCCCCAGGGGAAGCAGGAACCCACCAGGTTCTGGAAAGGCCGTGGGAAAATCTGAGGCTCAGAGAGGGTAAGCGGCTGGCTGGAGGTCACACAGCTAATCAGGAGGAAGACGGAGATCGATGCCAAACCCACCGTGTGTCCACTGAGGTACAAAAGATATTCCACAGGGCACGAGTGACGCTTTGACAGGTTCATGACCCCTCACAGCGGGGCAGAAGGGTTCTCACGGTCCTAAGTCCCTCACCCATGTGACCCTGCCTGTGTCCTGGAGCACATCCGATCCAAATGCAGAGGCTCCAAACCAAAGGCGGGTCCAGTTCCCCACCCCCCCAGGCTCTGAGGTCACTGGGCCAGCAGCCCCGGGCCCAGCTGGCTCCGTCCACCCAAGAGCCACGCGACCCTCCATCTCCCAATGACTAGCAACACGAGGCCCAGGGGACACAGGGACTCAACCTCCCGCCAGGCTGCGCTGAGCGGGGCGAGGCCCAGGGAGCGGAGGGCAGGGAGCCCCTTCCCCTTGGGGACCCAAACACCACTCTGGGTCTCAGCGTCCCCTCTGCGGGAGCGCAGCCAACTAGGACTCTGGGGACACCTCTGCCCTCTACTCCCCCAGCCAAAGCTCAAAGGTGGCACTGAGGCCCAGGGGGCAGGATTGGAGGGACCCATTCCCCCAGGCTCAGATGGCCTGTCTGCCATCCTTTCAGCCCACCCACCATTCAAGGGGACAGTCCCACTTCTTTCCTTGGGGGGTACCAGGGATTGAACCCAGGGGCCCTCGACCTCTGAGCCCTGTCCCCAGCCCTATTTTGTATTTCAGTTAGACACAAAGTCTCACTGAGCTGCTTAGGGCTTTGCTGTTGCTGAGGCTGGCCTCTACCTCGAGATCCTCCTGCCTCAGCCTCCCAAGCTGCTGGGATCAGAGGCGTGCACCACCAGGCCCAGCAGATTAACCCAAGAGAGCCGGGTCTCCTGGTGGGTGGCAGGCTCTGGGGCACCCAGCTACAACTGAACCCCAACACCCACCCACCCCGAGAGTGTATGGCGGCTCTCCCGGCTCCTCAGGCCTCCCTGGTACCATGAGTGCGTGCTGAGTGGCAGGTTCAGGGCCCCACCCCAGAGCCACCGGACAGCCCCTGCCCAGCCAGGTCTCTGGAGTCACCCTGCTCCTGCAGCACCAGCCTGTGGGGGGGCAGCGGGCGCTGCCCTTGGCCTGCTCTTGGCCTGGCCTCTGGTGGAGGCCGGGCTGGGGCGGAGTGCTGTCTCAGCAGACACTGGATCTCAGGGCGCAGCGGGGAGGGGGCCGCGCAGGCCCGCCCTGCCCCCCTGGAGGTCACCCTGCACCTTTGGAATCCAGCCGCAGTGTCCCCAGGCCCCAAGCTCCCGAACAGACAAGTCCTGAAGGTCCCCTGGTGGAATGGCCTTGGCACAGAGAACGCAGGAGGGGTCAGGGTGACCCGATGGCCCGTGCCAGGAGCCCAGAGGGAGCCCAGAGGGGAGACGGGTCCTTTAGAAGGACCCCAGGCTCAGCTCAGCCCCTCGAGGTCACTCAGCCTGGCCCAGAGTGACGTCCCCACACTCCTCCTCCACCAGCGGAAGTGGCAGCAGAGGGCTCAGGACAGAGCTGGGCAGAGTCTCACTGTCCCTGAACAAGTCCCTTAATCTGACTGAGCCTGGGGTCACCCGCAGGAAAGTGTAATGGTTCCACCTGGTGCGATGGCCCACGCCTGACATCCCAGTGGCTCAGGAGGCTGAGGCAGGAGGATGGCAAGGTGGAGGCCAGCCTCAGCCACTCAGCGCCGTCCTTGTGCTTGGGATGGGGCGTTCACTGCCCCCGGCCACGGCCCCCCCAGCAGCAGCCTACCTTGCGGATGCGGCCGCTGCGCGTCCCGGCGAACACCACGGTGCGGCCCCGGTAGTCGTAGGCAGCCACGGCGGTCAGTCCGTCGTCCTTGTCCACAAACAGGGGCGTGCCCTCGATGGTGACCGTGCCCCCCAGGGGCTGGTTGAAGTCCTGTCCGCAGAAGTCGTCGTCGATCTGCAGGGGCTGCAGGAAAGGACAGGTGAGCCTCCTCCCTGAGCAGGGCCACTCCAGCCCCACAGAGGTCCCCAGATGCGAGAGGCTGCAGGCCCATTTCACAGACTGGGAAAGGGAGGCCGTCCCGGGCCCACCCACCCAACTCTGGGTCCCTGGGGAAGGAAGGACAGGGGACCAGTGTAGCAGGTGGCCTCAGGGGTCTGGCCAGCGATGGACGGGAGAGGAGGGGACAGGTGGGGAGGGGGTGACGGCAGGGTCCCTCCTCTGGAGAGGTGTGGCCCTGGCCACCAGAGGGGGTGTCGAGGCAGACAGGATCCAGTTCAGACAGGACAGCCAGGGGCATCCAAAGGCAAAGGGGGGGGCGTGCAGGAAGCCATCGATCCCGAGGCTCCGGAGATGGCTGGGGGACAGCTGGGGGGCCGTCCCACTGCGAAGCCGAGGAGGAGAGACAGGGCACAGGAGAGGAAAGGGGATGGGACAGGCCACTGATGAGCCAGAGCAGGGACACAGGACACCTCCCAGGTCTGGGGACAGGGCATGGAGCAGCCAGGGTGAAGCACCCCCTCTAGGCTTCCGTGTCCCCACTCCTTCCTCAAAAGGCCACGGGGAGGGGACAGCCGTATCCACCAAAGGCACTCAGAACCCCGACCACACACGAGAAAGAGGAGTGGGAGGGACCCTGGCCTCCCCGCTGCGCCCCAAGAAGAGCCAGTGCCTGTCCTAGTTGGGACCCAGGAGGACGGAAATCAGAGAGGGACAGGTTTTCCTGGGCTACCTAGCAGGCCCCAGGCAGCGGTAGCAGAGGGCTCAGGGCAGAGCTGGGCAGAGTCCCACTTCCCCTGAACGAGTCCCTCAGTGTGACTGAGCCTGTCATCCCAGCAGCTCTGGAGGCTGAGGCAGGAGGATCCCAAAGTGGAGGCCAGCCTCAGCCACTCAGTGAGACCCTGTGTCTAAATGAAATCTAAAAAGGGCTGGGGACGGGGCTCAGGGGTTGAGCGCCCCTGGGTTCAATCCCTGGGACCAAGAAAAGCGACCTTAATGGTTCCCTCGACCTGAGCGTGGGAACACGGAGGAGCAGCCGAGGCCTGGCCCCCCTCAGTAGGTGTTGGAGGCTGCAGCGTAGCACAGGGGAGGCCCAGCTGGGGCAGCATCAGGCCCTCTGTCTCTGGAGGGCACGAGCATGGCCTGTTGGGGACTGTCATCTGGCCCCACTGTGGGTGACGGGAGGGCCCAGGAGAGAGGCATACGGTCAGGAAAACATGAGGGAAAGATGAAGGCTCTAAAGATGGCGCCCACTCGGGCGAGGCCCAGCACTGCCTCTTAGGACCAGAGTCAGGTCCACACATCTCCTTGAGCCTCAGTCCCCTTGTCTGAAAATCAGGGACAGGAGCCAGCTGGCCAGCACCCCACATGGGGCCAAGCATGCTGTGGATGACCCATCCCATGTCCCCAGGGGCTTGTGGGCCATTTGGGCAGGGTGCCATTACCCCATCTCCCCAGCGCCTGGCAGGGCACTCTCATGGCTAGAAAGAGGATCTGGGGGTCAGCATGACCCCCTGCAACACAGGACAGCGGCAGTCCTTGCCTCACAGGCGGCCAAGAGCAGGGCCTGGACACAGCAGGAGCCACCCTGGTATGTGGACAAGAACTGGACGCGGGGACGCACACCTGTCATCCCCAGGGGCTCTGGAGGCCGAGGCAGGAGGATCGCAAGGTGGAGGCCAGCCTCAGCCACTTTAGCCAGGCCCTGAGCCACTCAGCGAGACCCTGTCTCTCAATAAAATCTAAAAAGGGCTGGGGATGGGGCTCGGGGGTTAAGCGCCCCTGGGGTCCATCCCTGGGGGAGGGGCCGGGCCCTGGTCAAGGCCACAGCCCTGGTCAAGGTCACGTCCAGCCGCTGCGCACTCACCGAGTTGATGCAGCCCAGCTCCTTGTTGAGCAGCCAGGGCAGCGAGAGCTTGCCCTCTCCGCGGTAGCAGGACTGGATGCGTTCCTTGATCTTCTCCTTGATGGCGCGCAGCGTGAAGAGGCAGAGCGCGGACTCCTTGGGTGGCTTGACCCGGTTCTTCTGGCCCTGGGCGAACACGGTGAACAGCACGTCCTCGTCGTCGGTCAGACCCAGCTGGCGGGCCAGCGCGTGGCCAGGCCGGCTCAGGTAGGCGTCCTGCACCAGGCGGTACTCGACGCCCGCCTGCTGGCAGCCGATGGGGAACTCGACGTACGAGTAGAACTTGGGGTCGTCGACGCACAGGCGCACGATCTTGGAGGTGAAGAAGTGCTCGCCGGCGGCGTCGGGGGACGTGAGCTGGGTGTCCAGCTGCAGCGTGAGGTAGTACACGAACTGCTCGCTGCGAAAGCTGTACACGTAGTAGATGTCGAAGGCGGGGAACTTGGACAGGGTGTCCGACGGGATCTTGAGCTGCGAGGACACAAACTCATCCTGGTACACGAAGCCGAACATGTCCGCGTCCTCCTCGTTGGCCATGAGCCGACGGCTTGACAGCGTGGGGAAGTACTCCGATTTGCCGTCGATGGGGGTCCCCACGAAGAGTTTGGCCTGGCCCTGGCCGGGGGTCCCGGCGATCAGCACCCCGGCCATGCTGCCCGCCTCGCGCACGCTGGACAGATAGTGCTCCTTGCGGTGGTGAGGCTCGCCCAGCTTGAAGAGGTCGTCGAGGCGCAGGAACTGGCAGATGCCCTGCGACGCGCTGCCACAAGCCAGCAAGCGGTTGGCGGCATAGTCCAGCAACAGCAGCTTGTTCACGTTGTCCGTGCTGCCCAGGCCGTGCGGGCACGACTGCACGCTGGGCGGCGGGTAGCACTTCTCGTTGTCCTCCACGGGGCCCGTCACGTGCGCCCGCAGCAGCGTCAGGTTCCCCGACAGCTTGTAGATGCGGTTCACCGCGCCCACGTACACCTCGCCCGTCTGCTCGTGCACCACCAGGTGGGTGAGGCCCCAGTCGCTGGCCACGAAGGTGCGGAAGGCAGGTGGCGGGGTCCCGTCCGTCCTGGGCGAGCCTGCAGCCACCCAAAGGCCCCCTAACAGCAGCAGGGGCAGCAGCATGGAGAGCGCCTGCGGGCGCAGAGGTGGCAGCGGCATGGCGCGCCCGGGGCTTGGGCCTCGGTGCTCAGGTCCTGCAGGGGCGAGCATCACGGGGCCGGGAGCCACAGCCCTGGGGGAGAAGGGGCAGGAGAAGGCCGGTGAGCATGAGCGCAGCACGCGCGCAAAGAGCACGCACGTCCTGTCCAGCGCGCACGCATCCTGCCGGGACCCCTTCACCGCACTCCAGGAGGAAGGGCTGCTCCTCCCGGCAGAGAGCCAGAAGCTAAGAGAGGTCACCCTCCTGGCCTGGGCACAGAGTGCGCGCAAAGCACGCACGTCCTGTCCAGCGCGTGCACATCCTGCGCGGACTCCCAACGCGCATCCTGCGCGGACCCCTTCACCACACTCCAGGAGGAAGGGCTGCTCCTCCCGGCAGAGAGCCAGAAGCTAAGAGAGGTCACCCTCCTGGCCTGGGCACAGAGTGCGCACAAAGCACGCACGTCCTGTCCAGCGCGTGCACATCCTGCGCGGACTCCCAACGCGCATCCTGCGCGGACCCCTTCACCACACTCCAGGAGGAAGGGCCGCTGCTCCCGGCAGAGAGCCAAAAGCTGGGAGAGGTCACCCTCCTGGCTGGGGCCCTGCAGGCAGCCAGGGGTGAACCAGGTGTCACGGAGACCAAGCAGTGGTTACCACAAGCAGCACAGGACACCTGCTTGCGCCAATTCCATGCCTATGCCCTGCCACTGCTGGCAGAGGGGAACCACCCCTGGGGGTCACAAGGGCCTGGGGTCTAGACTGGAGTCACAGCTGACATTGCAACTTGGACAGGATCAACCTCTGATTCAGAGCCTGACTACGCCCTAGGGAGACAGACCCCTGGCCCCAAGGTACTCATTCCCAGTGACACCTTCTCTGGCTGGGGCTGCGGGGGACGCGCACCACTGTTGCCCTATAAAAGCTGGACACAGGCGGGCTTTTGAGCTGGTTCCCAGCTCCACATCCAGGCCCCCTTGAGTCCCCACCCAAACACAGGGTAAGTGGACCTTCAGGATGTGTCCCCAAAGCCTGCTCTCACAGGTCCCCCTGAGGGCAGCCCGGTTCCATCCCACAGGCCTCTCCTGGGCGCCCACGGGGAACATACCCCGAAAGTACAGAACCCACCTCCTGACCAAGTACCAGGGTGGGCGCAGCATGGGGCCAGGGCCTGTGCCCGGTGCGCACCAAGCGCTCTCGAATGAGCCGCACTCCCCTGCGGCTCTCCGCAGCCATGACCCAGGCCGGCCCCACTCAGGGGCCCCACAAGAACCCCACAATCCTGCGGCCACACAGGCCGCGCCTCTCAGCATAAGCAGCACCCCTGCAGCAGGCTGGACGGCTTTTCTGACCTGCACACGAGGTCACCATCCCCCAGACCTTGGCGTGACTATCAGATCCTGCCGTGGCACCCCGCTGACTCTGGGGGTCACCTCCTCCCAGCATGGGCGCTGGTGCCCAGGCACTGGGTCCAACCCAGACTCTCACTACGCGCCCCTTCCCCAGCCTCAGTTTACCCACCTGTAAAGGGGGTGACGCAGTTCCTCACCTGGATGAGAGGAAGAGGATGGCCTGCCCATGTATTGGGGGCCTCTCCCCACTCCTGGCTGAACCCCAGGGCTGTAGATACCTTCCTCCTGACTCCCAGCCAATGCCCTCCCTGTGGCCGGGCAGCCCCATTTCTCAGGTGGAACAACTGAGGCCTAAAGATGATGACTTTTGCTACAGTCCAGCTCGGGTGTCACCTGAGACATCTCCCATGAACTGCTCCCTGAAGGCACCGGCTAACAGTGCCCAGTCCCCTGCTTTAGTCTGTGGCAGGAGGCTTGTTAACGGTTTTTGTTACCTATTGTTCCCAGACACTGACTCTGACAGAGTGGCAGCTGTGACACAGGAGGGTCTGGTTAGGTGTGGTTCGCCACTATATCCCCAAAGCCAAGCCCGGGATCCAGGGGACCTCAAAAAACACTTGAGTGAACCTGGGCCTGGTGGTGAATGCCTCTAATCCCTGCAGCTCAGGAGGCCGAGACTGGAGGATCAAAAGTTGGAGGCCAGCCTCAGCAACATATCAAGGCCCTGAGCAACTCAGCGAGACCCTGTCTCTAAATAAAATACAAAAAGGGCTGGGGATGGGGCTCAGGGGTTCAGTGCCCCTGGATTCAAGCCCCATTATAATAATAATAATAATAATAATAATAATAATAATAATAATAAATACACGAGTATTGTCTGCCTCTCTCCTCTTGCCCCCACCGTCTGTCCAGTGCCCATCTGCTGCTCAGGTGTGGAAACTGAGGCTCAGGGCAGCAAAGCGCTTTGGCTCGACTCTCAGAGCAGAAGCACGTTTGGGCTCCTCCCAGCAGGCTGTTCGTTGCCTTTCCTGGTCATTGACATCACCCCAAGCTCAGCAGTTGGGAGAGGATCCTCCACCGCCCCCACTAGAGGCCTGAGGCGGACCAGGGAGCCAGGAAACAGGTTCCCTGCCGAGGCAGCAGTGGCCCTGGCTGAGAGCTGAGCGCATTGGAACTCCAAAGAAAACATGAATCACTCACCGTTTATCAGTTCAAAGCAGCCCTGCAATTACCAGGGGCCGGGCTCTCCCCTCCTCCGGGATAATTATACACGTCTTAATGCAATTATGGGCTCTACTTTTTATATTAAACAGGAGGGACCCGGCTGAAGAAGCCACCATCCCAACTCCAGCCTGGCCCAGGGCCCACTCTGTCTCCTCCCAAGGAAAGAACTGGCCTGGGGGGGGCACCCGATTGCCAGCCGGGAAAGGAGGGGATCCCAGGCCTATGGTGGCTCCCTCACACCCACCGTCTAACAAAGGCCACACAGGACAAGGCTTGGGCTACTTTCTGTGTCTTAGAGATACAGGACTCAGGGCTCAGACAGACCCAAGGTCACCCAGCTAGTCCCAGCAAGGTAGGGGCCAGATCCAGAGCTTCTGCAGACCCTGGGACACCTAGGAAATCTGCAGAGGCGCGACTGCCCCAGGCCTGAGGTGTGCCCAGGAAAAAGTACCCAAAGGTGCGCTTGGGTGCAGAGAGGACCCGTGGATACTGTCCTCCATGGAGAAGGGAGGGATGCGGGCCAGCCACTGTGGCCTGCAGAGGCTGCCCTAGGGGGTCTCACTGGAAGGACTAGGCATATTGGGCACACTGGTGGGTGACGAGGGCAGCAGGAGGAGAGACCTGGCACGGGATCTGCTGGACATGCAGATGGGGTCGGTGCCAGGCTGAGTCAGAGCCAGGCCAGGAGGGCAGAGCGGGTGTTGGGTGTACCGAACGGGGCCAGCCACCAAGAGGAGCCAAGCTACAGGCAGGTGCAGCACTGTGACCTGGGGGGGGGGGGTCCACGCCTGGACTGCATGGGACCGGCCCTCCAGTGGGGCATGCAGACCAATGTCCCCTTCCCTCTCCCAGACCTGGATGACACCACGGCTCCTTTTTTGCCCTAAGAAACAAAGACCTCAGAGGGATGACAACCGATGCCCTCCCACTCTGGATCCTTCCCGGGCTTGGACAGGTGGGGACGTGGGGGGACATGGAAGACAATCACACCGTGCCCAGAGGTATTTCCAGCGGCATCCAGAAAGGGGGCTACCCTGGTCGTCCCCACCTCCCCCCATCGGAGGACACAGAAGGTGGTTCCAAGTGGCCCTGATCCCCATCAGCCCTACGGGACCAGGCAGGACCTGGAGACACCTTGCTGTTCTGCTCTCAGAAAAAGTGCCAGCTGCTCGCGATTGGCTCTGGGGGTGCCCTCTCCTCTGCCCAGCTGCTCTAACATGCTCCAGACAGGAGCATCTTCCCCGGGGGGCAGCAAACAGGCAGGCAATGACCTAGGGGCCCAGCAGTCACCCAGCTGAGCCACACAGGGCTTGCAAGACCCCGGCCTCCACCCTTGCCTGTCCCCCCTTTGACTGCAATGCCTTTCCGGGGTCCCAGGTGCCCGGACGCCTGACCCTGAAGCAGACTCTCGGGTTGGCCTCTCTGCCTGGGGCATGCCTGGGACTGGGGCCCTCCTTCAGGGCCAGGCAGAACCCGGGCACACCTAGCTCTGCCCCATTCCTCTCCTGCACACCTCAAACCAGTGGGGAGGCAGGGGACCTGGGGCATGCTCCACCGATGAGCCCCACCCCACTCGGACTGGGATGAGGAGGTGAGCCAGCACCGCGGCCCAGGCCAGCCAGCCCGCGGCAGGAGCGGGACTGAGGGGACAGAGGCTCGGCCAGGTCCCATCCCCCCCCACACACCCCTTTCTTTCAAGGGGCGTGGCCCCAGCACCCCACAGACACGCAAAGGCAGCTCAGGGCACCAAGCAGCCCCTCTCACCCTCCATCCCGGGCTGCAGCCGGGATCTCACAAGGGGCACAAGGGCCTCCCTGGAGTCCCCTGCTCCCGCTTCCTGGAGGCAGCCCCGGATCAGCCGGCCGCCGCCGCCAGCTCCGTTGCACACCAGGCCCGGGACCGTCCTGGAGGCCATGGGCAGCCTCCGAAGGAAGCGAAATGACCCTGGGGAGGCCCTGCTGGGGCGGGGGGGAGGCCGAGGAGGCCCAAGCAGGGCTGGCCTCCCGGGTGCCACCCGCACCGCCCCCTCCCAGCCCCGTGGCGGCCCTGCGGGCCTGGGCTGGACCCAGCGCCCAGCTCCCGGCACCCGGGGCCAGAGGAGGCGGGGGCGGGCGGCGGTCCCCAGGAAGCGGTTCCAACTTCCACCCCGGCGCGCGGGGCCGCCCAGGGCGCAGCCCCCCCGACCTGCCCGGGCTCCCGCGGTCGCCGCCGAGCCCTGCCCGGGCCTGCCCAGCCCGACGATCGCCGCGTCCCGGGGACCGCGCCCGCGATCCAGCGCCCGGGCTCGGACCGGGCCTCCGCAGGGCCCTCCCGGAGGGGCCGCCGCAAACTTTCTCTCCTGCCTTTGGGGAGGGGGCAGCGCCCGTCCCCGCCGCGCCGCCCCGGAGCGCTGCCCGGAGGACCTCAGCGGGCGGGTGGCCGGTGGCCGGGGCGCGCGGAGGAGGAGGAGGAGGAGGCCGGGCGCTGGGCCTGGGGCCGCGGTCCGATCGGGCCGGGAGGGGACGCGGCAGCTCAGGG